CTCTCGTACCATGGATAGTTTGCTATATTTAGTTTTAATAAAAAAAATTAAAAATAAAACAGTGCCAAGAGTTCAGAATATTGTCTCGGCACGATCCAGAGCATTAGCAAAATAATTAGACTATTTTAGAGCGAAAATCACTTTTTAGTTTCCTTCAATCACATGGGACGCACACTCTTTCGTTATGGAATTAAAGAACTTGCCACATGACTCGCATACATTTTTACTCTTCTTTGGGGGAACAAAAGGATTCCCAAAGAGCCTTTATAGACGGCTTGAGCAAGAAAAGCAAGGGACTAATTACAAGATGCACGACGCTCGAGAACATTAAAAATGATTTTTTGCTCCAATAATGAGAGAGATTACTCAGGTTTCCCATTGGCACTACGACTAAAGAAATTAAAAAAGGAACCACTTTTGCTTAAAGGAAAGTGAGTTTTGCTTTCCCGTTCCTAGATTCAACAGATGCCCGAACTCGTTTCATTGGTCTAAGGAAAAACAATGAAACAAACCGATCAAAGCTTGGATAATCTTCTTCAAAAGAAAATAAAGTCCAGTTCCACCGCCCAAGAAATCCATATCCCGTTCAGATTGAAGGGCACTCCGAATTTGAACAAATCAAAATCCTCCATACAAGTCGGGTTTCATGCACAGCTCAGACCCGAGATATAATTTAATTATATAAATCACCAAAAGATTATCCGAACCGATCAGTCTCCAGATTGGTTGAACTTGGTTCCAGAAAAGCCTAAACTAAATTGTGTGAAAACGGGTTGAACGTAATAACAAGCTCCGCCACAATTCCGTAGCTAAATTATGGTGATCTCGATGTCTAAATCTGCATGGAAGCAAATCAAAACAAGACTTCTTCTGCTTGTCTCGGTCTAAGAGTTTGACTCTGATTAGCAATTTACTTTGGACTTTTCGTTCATTTCTCTATTACAAAGCGATGGACTTGTTGCCTATGTGCCGGTCAAAGATCACCAGTGCCATTTACTTTCCCATTTCGCAGTACATTGTCAAGCATTGTCCTGATGTGGCTTAGAGCCTTTCAGAAAGAAGACCCTTCAATGGGCAACAAAAGAAAATTTCTTCAAATCTCATCACGTTAATATCTTTCTTTGTTTAAATAAATTTCTTTCTCATATCGTCAACTGAGACTGAAAAGTAATACATTGCGATAGCCATCAAAGCAAACCTGATCGAAACATTCTTCTCATTGTGGCTGCTAAAAGAGGTGACCACTTCGGTGGAGAATTTTCTACTCCAGGAAGGATCTGAAGCTTAGACAATTCTGCTCTAGGAAGCATCCTGGGATATGCTAGGGCCGGCGACTGCAGAAGACAAAGGGGTATAAGTAACCGTGCCTTCTGTTCATTCCTCCAGCAGGTTCACAATTTCCTTACAAAAGAAGCAGGAACGAGAATGTTTCAGATTCTTCTGCTTCTAGGATCACTTTTGCTTCACAAACAAGGATCGCAAGCGGCTCCTCTGGCGAAGGGCAGTTGCAACCAAACATGTGGTGGCATTGCCATTCCCTTCCCCTTCGGGATTGGAACTGGGTGTTTCCTCGACGAGTGGTATGAGATCGTCTGCCAGGAAAGCAGCAATGGCACCGTCCCGGTACTGAAGAAGGCCAACTTGAGGGTGCTTAACATTTCTCTACCCGATTACGAACGCAACAAAAACGGCATGATCAACGTCAGTCTTCCCATAATCTACTCGGCCAATGGGAACTGCGGGGGCAATGGAAGCTTTGTGCCCGTGAGCTTGAAAGGAAGCCAGTTTGTCTTCTCCGTGTCAAGGAACGTCTTCACCGCCATCGGTTGCAACATCCGTGCTCTAATGGATGACACGGAGTCTGCTATCATAGGATGCAAGTCAAGTTGCGGAGCAGACAACAACGTTGTTGGGAACATGAATTGTTCGGGGAGCGACGGATGCTGCCAAACCACAATTACCTCGTATCTTCAGGCTTTCAGCGTCGATTTCCAGCTCGACAATGAAACAGCAGGGCACAATGAATGCAACTATGCCTTCTTGGGAGATAGGTCGCAGTTCGTGCCTGCAACTACGGACTTTGATGGGTTGAGGGCGAGCGGGCATTTCGCAGCAGTGCTAGAATGGGGGATAGCTAAATCCTCAGAACCTGCATTAGAGATTTACAATTACGGCTACATCTCCGGCGATTCCTATTACTGCAGCACAGTCGGCTTCTTTTCAGGGTATCGCGTGGCAATGCCGTTTTTGCATTGCTATTGCAATAGAGGCTTCACCGGTAACCCCTATATTAGACATGGATGCGAAGGTAAAACCACTTACATTTTATCACACCAATCATTGGAAACGTAACGTTGACACACTGTACCAATAAAGAGAAGTAGCTCTTTGGAGGCTGACGTAGCTTTACATGCAATCCTAAGCACCCAATAAAGAGACGAAGCTCTACTAATTTTGATGGTCAATCTTTTGTTCAGATGTTGATGAATGTGAAGATCCAACTGATCGGTGCCACGGCAAAAAGTGCGTGAATCGACGAGGTTACTTTGATTGTGAAGAAGGAAGCAAGACAATTAAGTTTCTCCTCATAGGTAAGCAAATTTCACATCCTATCATCTAAATAAATGCTGCATTGAGTCTGTAAGTGATGAAACCCACAATTTAGAAAAAGCATATACAATGAAGCGCTTTCAGTGGATCGTATGTTCGGTGTTCCTATGTAGCTCTTCGGAATTCAATTTTGCTGTTTAATTGAGCACATATATTTTCTTACAATTGTAGCCTAATTAGTTTGTACTTTTTAACTTGATCAGCTCATCGACATATACAATATGTCGAACATAATATCAATCAACCAATACCTCTGTTTGTTTTATTTGGCTGCTGCTCGACTGATTAGATGGCTGTTCTGTTCTATGCTAAATTTTCATAAGGAGACTTTTTCACCAATCACATTAACATTTTATTCAATCAATTAATGAGTATACAGAAAGGCCGTCTAAGGTAAATCTCTCCAGTATCAGATTACCAATTTCCTCGTTTGAAATCAGTTGCAGATCCTTGATGCTTGCTTTTGGTTGTGCTCATACCACTTTGATAAACCAGGTATTGGAGCAGGCCTAGGGGCACTGTTTTTGCTTCTTTTGCTGTGGCTGTTGTACAAGTTCATGAAGAAAAGGAAAGAAATCAAGCTCAAAGAGAAGTACTTCAAACAGAATGGGGGTCTCTTGTTGCAGCAACAGCTGTTCGTCCGAGAACAATGTGGAGAAGAGCCATTTGTTTGATACCAAGGATTTGGAGAAGGCCACCGACAATTTCAACAAGAACAGAATACTTGGCCAAGGTGGGCAAGGAACCGTCTACAAAGGGATGCTCACGGATGGAAGAATCGTTGCCATTAAGAAGTCGAAGGCGATTGATAAGGGAAAAGTCGAACAGTTCATCAACGAGATTGCCATTCTCTCACAGATCAACCACAGGAATGTGGTTAAGCTACTGGGGTGTTGCCTGGAAACAGAGTCGCCGCTCTTAGTGTATGAATTCGTATCAAACGGGACTCTTTTCCAGTATTTACATGACCCGAATGAAGAGTTTCTTGTATCTTGGGACACACGCCTTAGAATTGCTACTGAAGTGGCAGGAGCCTTGTCCTATCTACATTCATCGGCATCAATCCCAATCTATCATCGGGACATCAAGTCTACTAATATTCTCTTGGACGACAAGTACCGCGCAAAAGTGGCTGACTTTGGCACTTCCAAATCAGTTACACTCGATCAAACTCACGTGACTACAAGAGTCCAAGGGACATTCGGGTACTTAGATCCCGAGTATTTCCAATCAAGTCAGTTCACAGATAAGAGCGATGTGTACAGTTTCGGTGTGGTCCTCGTCGAACTCTTGACAGGGCAAAAGCCGATCTCATTTATGGGGGACGGCGAGGAGAGAAACCTCGCGAGCTATTTTCTCCTCTCGATGGACGAGAACCGCCTGTTCGACATCATGGACGCTGAAGTTCTGAAGCAAGGCAAGAAAGAAGGGATCATCGCCTTTGCGAGCATTGCGAGAAGGTGCCTGAACTTACATGGGAAGATGCGACCTCCAATGAAAGAAGTGGCAATTGAACTGGAGCGAATTAGGAAGCTGGAGAATCCTGCCCTCAAGCATGGACATACTCAAGAGAAGAGTGAGACGAGTACACTTTCGGAATATGTGGTGCCCGCAGACATAGTTACATTCTCGGACTTGCAACCACTCATCTGTATTGAATCATTGTAAATTAGTTCTGTCTAAATTTTCGTAGTTGAGTTTATACTTTAAGAAGACAATCAGGATTTTGTTGTGTGTAAATGTCAACGGACAGAAACTATAAATTCGTTTGTCACGCTCGTTCTTGACGGGAAAAGGAATTTAATTGTCAATTATCTGGAAAGGAACTCGGCATAGATTGTGAAATTTATCGCATTCATTGAGGCAATTTGATATTATATGGCAACAGCAATCACAGAATTACTCGTACATGTTCCAACAGATGCATCAATAGGAATTAGGACAGGAATGTCCACAAAATAAGAGAAGGCATCCGTACAACACCTGGACATAACTTCACCATGCTCCAGTGGCTTGCATATGACAGGGGTTGTTAAAGTATTATCTCACATCATTTGACAACGAGTCCTAAATGCTGGGTTAGATTTTCTAACACTATCATTCAAGTTTTAACATATCTTTTGCGAGTTTAGCAACTATCATAGTCTCTTCCTTCTCACCTTGCTTTAGAAGTTTGATCTTGGTAGATAGATTTTTTTGGTTGAATTGGGTGACAGATTTAGAAGTCACAAAATCGCGCCTCAATGACAAAAGGGTATGGAAGCCGCGAATGCAAGTAGGATAGTGGCAATCTGTACTCGCACGTCCTAGAACCTGAGAAAGTCTACTTAGGCGATGTGGGACATTGGATGGACTATTTGACATCTTATTAGAAAGTCCAACCCAATATCTTAAGCTAATAAGTCGAGGGAGATCATCTTCAACTGTGGAAACAAAAGAATACAGCAACTTCCATTAGGAAAGAAGTATCAACTTAACAACTAGGCCATTTTTTGAATGCTGAATTTCTGAGCAGTGTAACATCTGCTGTATGATTTTTGAAATACATGATCTAATTGTTGATTTAGCACAGACGCATTAAAGAACACAATAGGAATGGCAGTAAATGCCCAATCCCCAAAAACGAATGAATAAGGTACGCAAATGGGTCATAAACTTCCAATGGTGTGAATCTATTCATGCTTTTTGGCATTGAGCTTTGCCTCAGCAATCTTGCTAAAGATTCCTGCATCCAGTTTCTGGTAGTGATTTCGAAACTGTCCAAGGAGCTGGCACGCAAAGCTGTCAACTTGGTCTTCATATCGCTCATAAAGAACGGGCAAGGTATGCACGGCAACAAAACCTTCAAACGAGAAGAACCAAGATTTTCAGCTTTCAAGAATTCAACACTAACACACCACAGTTACATAATGAGCAGAAACAAGTATCCTTTCGTAGTTCTGCAAAGTAGTGATTCTATAAATGCTTTCAGACCTTGAAATGCAGGACAACAATTAATACATTAATACATTACGGGATTAGGCGTAATGTATGGGGATGGAATGAGGAGCTTCAATGGATGGTTAGAGCAACAAGAGGCAAAGATTTGGCAGCGAAACTCCTCAAAGTATCTTTCCTAGCGACTGTATATTGCACTTGGATGGAGCGCAACCATAGGCGGTTTCAAAACAATCCAACTGACATTCAGATTATTTTGGCGAAGGTGCGGAAAAATGTAAGAGGTAGAGCTTCACTATACAAAAAAATCAAACCTTCGCAAGCTAACTTTGTTTTAGCTACTTTATGGAGACTTCCTACCTCCATATTCTCGAATTATTAGTACTAGTTGTAATGCTGGGGAATGCCCCTAAGCTGCTGTACATCATCTGTTATATACTACTTACATTTTACACCAAAAAAAAAAAAACAATTAATACATTAAAGCAAGCTTCTTCAAGTAAGCGCCATTACATTGCTGCTACAGAATTACATCTTGTATCTGGGTATGCCTACCTCTTTTGTCAATTTCATGTGACTACAACCGTTAACGTGTAGGTTAATTGCATCAGAACCATTAAGCAATTCCCTAGAAGAGAATGTCTCACTACAATTATTGAGACTTTTATCAAGCCTGTTTTAATCTTACAACTACTTATTTTTGTCAAAGTGGAAATAAGGCTTCATGTGATCGTACCAGAACAAATGAACTTGCATCGTAAGTATATCACATAATGATAAGCCAATTCAACTTTCAGGTTGTCAAACTGTAAAGACATCGTGAAGTCTCACTTACCCACGTATAAGACTGTCAGAAAATTGCACCAGCTACCTATAATAGCAGCAGCCCACAAACTAGCAACGACCTGCAAGGATTTTCACATCAGAGACTGTCAGTTTCTTTCTTCTTTTCTTCTTGCTTGTTAAAAGAGACTAGTTAAATGCAATTTTTGCCTCTGAAACACCGAGACGAAGTTCAATTTTCTTGAGATATGTGGAGGTGGAAAAATCAGTATGCGTACCACAAGAAATTGCTTCAAGTCTCTGCTCAAAGCGACATCCTGAAGAAACCCCAAAGCTTTGTTTACCTCAGATCCAACAACCATGCCAACGTTGACAAATAACTCTTCAGGTAGTTTCAGACGAGGGACTTGTGATGATGACCTGCTCAAAGTAAAACACAGCGATTCATCGAATTTAGACATGGTAAAAACTTTTCGAATCGGGTAATCTAACACGATAACAACTTCACTCACCTACTAAAGAAGCCAGAAGCACTCGACCAAACAAACTGAGCAAGCATGACCAAAACCAGGGCAATGAAGAGGAGTGTCAAGAAATGGTAGTTAAGCCATTCGAAAAGCACCCAGATGGCAGTTGCACCGGCTAAGACGCTGCCAGAGATTTTCTTGTTCCTCCATAGCAACACATCAGCAGCTGCAATTTTTCGGTTCAGAAGAGATTCATTAGCGAGTGCAGCAGTTAAACATACAGGATACAAGGATCAGAAAGTTGCGAATACATTTTCCACCGCCCAAAACATGATGAACCGTCTTCTGGCGGTTTAAGAGCCTATTATACAAAGGAGCCGCTGAGTGTGGGTTCTCCTCCTGAAATAGTGCAGCAGCATCTTGCTTCGGAATGCTCTCCGCCAGTGACTCCACGATGTTGTTCAAGATATTTTCTGGCATTGTTCCCATTCGCGAACAGAAAAGACCTGCACCGATTCATGAATCGAGATTTCTTAAGAGTTTTGTGTTAACGCCTTCTGAAGCTGCTGCCAGCAAAGACTTGACCCCTTCTAAGTCTCAAAACATCTATCGGAGGACAACGCAGATTGTAGCACCAAACAGAAACTAGTACTGGTTTAGCCGAGAAACTGGGAAAAAAACAGAGCAGAGAGCACGAACCGAGAGGCCAAAGCGTTCGGCTTTCGCAACGACAAGGAATGAGAGTTCAGCGAGGTCGGCTAAACACGGATGACGATAACAAAGTGCGCAAAAGAGCTTGAAAAATGCGGAAGAACGAAAGGCAAAGATGAGAAACCTGAATTCGTTTGAAGGCAATTCGCGTGCTTAGGGTGACTATATATGATGATGACTAGGAGACTTTGATGCCCAGTTGAAAATTCCTAGCTTGATGACTAGTCTATATTCAATTCAATGCGCTGAACTACGTTGACTCCTGCTACTAGTTGGGTCACTATTCGAACGTTTACGAAATGAAAACCATGGGGGACAGAGAGAGACCAAGTTCGCCACGTGAAAATCGCAGTCATATTCATCTGTCCATGGAATGAGACTGCGGAGCTATCCGGACGACCAGTCATTTGAAACCGATGCAGCCACCCTTTTTCAGGGCACGGCAGAATCCACGTTCCCAGAAATTATTTTTGCGTGAGGGGGATATATGTATCTCCTTCATGTCGCGATATTGTCGACCCAACTATGAATCTTGTTCTTTTACACAATAAGTTAATAACCATCCACTTATGGAACCGATGGTTGTGGATTAGATTCTTGCGTCGGGAACGCAGGCTTGGGTGTACGGCCACGGTGGTTTGTGCACCGATTCCCTTCCAGATAGCCAGTCAATTACGGCCGTGCCCGCGAATTACCGGAAAAATATCCATCCACATTCTAGAATTCTAAATTTGGAGGAACATCATTAACTTGGTAATCCATATTGTTACCGAAAACAAAGAGGACCCTCTATTTTTAAGACGTTCTTGTTGTTCTCTAATTTTTTTCCTCCTAAAATATCGCCAGTTACTTACTTGTTAGATACTTCAAAATGGATAAATGCTAAAATTGATAATTCTATTCTATCTCTTGTGTATTTTGATATTAATATTTTAAATATTTTCTATCGTACAGCAATCTCTCTAAAAAAAATTTCAAATCTCGAAATATTTCTTTTCTTTCCACATATATGTACGATTTCTTTGGTAGTGTGTAAATCAATCCATAACTTCTTTCTACTATCTAATGAATTCGAATATTTCGTAATAAATCCATTTGGTTTAACTTTTTCTTTATCGGATTTTGAAATATATTTGTGCTGCGTGTGCACATTTTGGATATATGCTAAGTCAAACACATGACACGTGTCATTGCTCGCTTGCCTAGGACGAAACAATGGGATTGACCTGATCAATTAGAGCCATCAATTTTTGCGGGCCCCAGTCAAGGGTTGAAACTTGGAGGCAAGAAATTTCCTGACGTGGCATTAAAATCTTTCGATATTTCCAACCTGAAAGATTACGGATTTTGTTGACGTGGCATTGATCCGATTAAATATTTTCTGACATCGATTTTTTTTTCAAACGTTGACTCTTTGACGGGAACTTTTCCTCCTCCTTCTTCTTCGAAATCTTCAAAACCCACTATTTCAACTCGTAAATACCCACTTATGACTACCCTTTACGGCCTTGGCCGTAGCTTGAAAGCTCGAGTTACCATGATGATTGTAAGCTCGAGATCTACGAGCTTTAGACCTTATTGGCCATGGCCACTCGCTCTTCCGCGGCCATAAGCTATAAGCTCGAGAAGCCATAGCAGCTGCATGCTTCAAGCTCGAGCTTAAGTAGCCCCTACTATGAACTTTGAAGCCAATCCGACCGTGGCGATCAAATGGTACAAGCTCAAACGGCCATGGCCCCGAGCTTCAGAGTTCGATCTGGCCATGACGGCCATAAAGCTTCGAGGTTAAGAGGTTGTAGCTCCAAGCTTCAAGCTCTAGTGGCCATGGCTGCGAGCTTCAAAATCACATTTGGCCATGGCAATCACAAGCTTCAAGTTCAATCGGCCATGACTGCAAGCTTTGAAGCCAGATTTGGCCATAACAGCCACAAGCTTCAAGCTCGAGCTTGAGATGACCGTGGGGGCAGAAGTGTTGAGGCCGAATCTGGACGTAACGACTGCAAGCTTCGAGCTGGAGCTTAAGCAGCCATGGCGGCATTGCAAGCCTCGAGCTCGAGCGATCATGGCTGTCGAGAGCTCAAAGCTCGAGCGACCATGGTCACGGTATGGCTTCTTCATGGGCTCTCTCTCTCTCTCTCTCGATTAATTGTTTTTGTAGTTCTTATGTTGTCTGACATATTAGTTTTGAGTAAATCATACCATCATGTGTGTGCTCTTATGTCCATATAAGAAATCCGACATTAATTGAGAGAGTTAATTATATAAAAGGAGAGATTGTGAAATTGCAAAGGCAAAACCAATAAGAGGTAGATAAATAAAGCCTTGTGTGATTTGAAAAGCATTTTAGAGTGTGTTCATTTCGCGGAAAATGAGTGACTTGAAAACATTTTTTGAAAAATGATTACTTATATCATATAGAAAAATTAGTCAACGAAAAATGTTTTCATCATTAATAACAATTTATGCCTAACTATTTTCATGGACGATGAAAAACATTTCCATTCATTTATTTTTGTAAAAGATACAAGCGATTATTTTTCGGAAAATGTTTTCCATATCACTTATTTTTCACAAAACAAACGCGGCCTTGTAGTTGCAAAGAAGAGAAAGGACAAAATATTGGACAATGAACTTGCTTCCAATCAAAAGATCTCTAGTTTCGCACTCGGTGGCATCCCAACCTTTGAGGCGCAATATGATAATTTAAAATTAAGGAAAAGTAGTGGGACGTTTGAGAAAAAGAATTATAGATCGATAAAATGAGGCAAATGAAATAACAGTCTTCAATTATTTGTTTATCGGCCTAACCGCAACGATGGAGAGAGGAGCGAAACAGATAACTAAGGTGATTTGTTTTAATCTAACCGAATTAGGGAAAGAAAAATCAGGTCGTTCACAAAGCATGGGGCGACTATTTGATGTTGTTAAGGTAGTTTTGGAGGCATCGTGACTTTGGTTCGTCCATTCCACGAGATTGTCAGTACATTCGTTGTCCAAAACAGAACCTGAACGGAAACATCTGGCCAGTTGGAGCATCGCTCCAACTTTTTAAGAAGTTCATGCTCGCGGTCAGGTCGAACTCAATTTGCAAAGCATTTGCACCAGTTTACTACGGAAATAGATAGATAAAAACGATGAGCATGGTCGAAGAGCGAGGCGGGGCGAACGGTGAAGACGCCTACACGCAAGATGGAACGGTGGATCGCAAAGGCGGACCCGTCCGGAGATCCAGGACCGGGCGATGGAAGGCTTGTTCCTTCATCGTAGGTAATGCCGTGTCTTTTTCTCTTTGATCGTTTACAGGCATCAGCAAGAACATTTCCGTTTCCTCACGAACCCAAAGAATAGCCCAAGCTGGTAAATTGGTCGAATCTTGCGCCTCAAGAAATCTAAGGGCTTCAAGTTCGATTCCCGAGCGGCGCGGCGGCATGGAGGAAGCAATTCTTTATGAAGTCCTTCATTCCATAAAGTTGTCCGATGCACGGAAGCTTATTCAAAACACACCCGACCACACAATACAAAAGAAAAGAGCAGCATTTTTTTTTCCGCCGACTGTGGTTAACTCTTTTGATTCATAAACGGTAGGGTGCATTAGTTTTTCTTTTTGCTTTATATGACAGGGATGCGTTAATCTATGTAGCGTACGAGGTTTTCGAGAGGATATCATATTACGGAGTCGCATCGAACCTGGTATTGTACTTGACGAAGAGGCTGCGGGAAGGAACCGTAAACTCCGCCAACAACGTCACCAACTGGGCAGGCGTAGTATGGATGACCCCCGTTATTGGTGCGTACATCGGGGACGTCCATCTCGGCCGGTATCGAACCTTTGTCATCGCCAGCATCATTTATCTCTTGGTAAGAGTATTTCCTGGAACTGGCCCTCCGAAGCTCCCGTGCGTTTGAGAAACTATACAGACAATGTTAATCACACTTCTGGTATATACTACAAATTGGGCTTATAAGTTCTAGTGTAAGCAATCTTGGTTCGTTGAAAGAGGACTTTTACTGCATCGTCTTGTTTTTTCATTTATTTGAAAATTTGCGTCCATTTTTTGTTTTTTTTTTTTGTTTAAGAAGATTCAATGTTGAACATTTTGATGCTATGTTCTTTGTGGCAACCTATGTTCACAATGGCTACTTTGACAGGGGATGATCCTATTAACTCTATCAGTGAGTTTGCCTTCACTGAGTCCTCCTTCATGTGGCCCCGGAGTGAAAGAAGAAGACTGTAACTTGAAGGCAACGCCCTTCCAAGTTGGATTCTTCTACTTCGCCTTGTACGTCATTGCGTTTGGCAATGGTGGGACCAAGCCCAACATCTCGAGCATGGGTGCGGACCAGTTCGACGATTTCGAGCCTCGAGAACGGGTCCAGAAGGCGTCCTTCTTCAACTGGTGGATGTGCAGCGTCTTCACTGGCGCGCTCTTCGCCAACACGGTCATGATGTACATACAGGACAACGTTGGGTGGGATGTGGGCTACGGCATCCAGACCGTCGGGCTTGGGCTCGCGCTGCTGGTGTTCCTGGGAGGCACTCCTTTCTACAGGCATAAGAAGAAAGCAAGGAGTTCCTACGCAAGGTTGGCCCAAGTAGTAGTGGCGGCTATGAAGAAGTGGAGGGTCCGCATCCCCGATGACCCAAAGGAGCTCTACGAACTGAGCATAGATGAGTATGCGAGTTCCGGAAGGCTCAGAATTGACAACACGCCTACGTTGAGGTTCGTCATCAATGCTTAGTTTATATCAGCTCAGTATGTACAGCTTTATTTGTACTATGCTCTATGAACTTAGCGTAGATGAGTATGCGAGTTCCGGTAGGCTCAGAATTGACAGCACGCTTACATTAAAGGTTCGTCATCAATGCTTAGTTTATAGCAGCTCAGTATCTGCGGATTTATTTGTACTATAGGATTGCAATCTGCGTCTATATGGATGAATGTATTAATGTGATTTCAGTGTCACATTGAACATGGCCTCAATATTGGCATAATGGGTTGTTTCTGATGTGTTTTGACCAATCCCGAATTCAGTTTCGTTCTATTGAGCTGTTGGGGAACTTTGGTGATTGACAGAAACTGCTTGCATGTTTTGATGTAATGCAATTTGCTGGACATGGCATTGGTTTGAGATTTTTGGTTGTCGACTCACAGATTTTTCGATAAGGCGGCCACAAAGACCGGACCTACCTCATCCTGGATATTGTGTACCGTGACCCAAGTCGAGGAAGCCAAGCAGATCTTCAAGATGGTCCCGATCTTGATCGCCACGTTTGTCCCAAGCGCCATGTTCGGGCAGGTCGCAACCCTATTCATCAGGCAGGGCACAACCCTGGAACGTAGCATCGGCAGCCACTTCAAGATGCCGCCAGCGAGCCTCAAGGCCTTCATACAGGTCGCCTTGCTGATAAGCCTGGTCTTCTACGACCGCGTCTTTGTGCCTGTGATGCGTCGCTACACAAAGCACCCCCGGGGGATCACAATGCTCCAGAGGATGGGGATTGGGCTCTCGCTTTTCATGGTGGTCATGGCCACAAGCAGCCTGACTGAGCGCAACCGGCTGAGCGTGGCGAGGGAGCGCGGCACAGTCGGCGAGCACGATATCGTCCCTCTCTCCATATTCGTCCTCGTCCCTCAGTTCATCCTCATGGGTGTCGCCGACGCCTTCCTTGAGGCCGGGAAGCTTGAGTTCTTCTACGACCAGGCACCTGAGGGCATGAAGAGCCTCGGGACCTCATACTACACAACCGGCATGGGGATCGGGAACTTCCTCAGCAGCTTCCTCCTCCAAACAGTCTCGGCCGTCACCAAGAGGAATGGCCAGCCGGGTTGGATCACAAACAACTTGAACCAGTCTCACTTGGACTATTACTACGCTTTGATGGCCGTCCTCTGCTTTGTCAATCTGGTGTACTTCCTCCTGGTGGCCTGGAAATACGTGTACAATGTGGACGCAACCGAGTATCAAAAGGAGTTGGCCATGGCGACAATTGGCGACACGGCATCCCGAGACAACCAGGACTAGAACATCTTGGGTGGGAACGTATTGCTGCAAATGCATAGCAGCTGAAACTTTTGTGAATCCCCCTTTTGTAGCCAGTCCATCAATCCTCATGCATTTTTTCTTGCTAATTTTAGTGTTTTAGAGAGTTCATTCTGCTAGTGACTTGCATGGTAAGGAGTCAACCTGCGGAACATATTAGCTGCAAACCGTCAAGCATCAAAGTCAGGGTGCATCATCATCATTCAAATTTGTAATAATTCTAGTGAAGTACACTCCAATGGCTTGTGATTACCTTATTTAAAATCGGATGTCTGATTAAACAGATCCGATCGAGATGATGCAAAAATGAAAACAAGTAACATTGATGGAATTTGTGCATCTTACTGAAACCAAAAGATGAGCAAATAATCGAGACATGACTGGTAATATCGCCCTCGTAATCTTTCTTTTTTTGGGTACCCGAATAATGTTCGAAGATAAGAACTAAGCGGAAAAGAGAATTGAGTGATTTCCGTATATTTTTGCGCTGAATAATGAGGGGTACATGATAGGTTCATTTATGATATGACAATCAAAGTGACATATCAATTAAGAATATGCACAATCAAAAGTAAATACAGAGAATCTCTAGTATATATTTAGTATTATGAAATAAATGGAAAATCATGAAAAATATCCTAAATATCTTCAACAGGGTTTATGCGTTTATCCAAAACGCACATATGATATGAGCCAATGTGATGCGCGCGAAAAACTCGGTAACCCTTCTGCTCGGATTAACACAAAGAGTTTCTCTGTATTGTTTCGAGATCGAATCTGTTTCTCAGCGCGCAGCAGCAATGTGAGTTTGGCTCGTACGTGATGTTTTTTTTAATGTTGAATTCGAAAGAAAGAAAGAAAGAACGAACGAACAGTTCTTCGTAACTGGTATTTTATTCATGTGCAGGTCTAGGATCATCGTGAAAAATTTGCCCAAGTACGTAGAGAAAGATCGCCTGCGCGACCGCTTCTCCCGAAAAGGGGAAATTACAAACGCCAAGCTCATGCGCAACGAGCATTTGTTGCTCTTGATATCATACTCTTGACAAAGATACTCTTGTTTTCTGTACATGAAGCACATGAAAAATGGGAAGCCAATGGGTTTTGGGTTTATAGAATTTGATTCAATGGAGACAGCAGCAAATATTTGCCAGAATTTACAAGTGAGCCTCTTCTTTTTTCTCCTTGATAAATTTCTTGCTCAAATTTTATTTGTGTTCTCTCCAGGGAACGTCTTAGATAGGCATGCCCTAACATTGCAGTTTTGCCAAGTAAGGGAAGACAAACGAGCTCTAAATAGAGCTGACAAAGACAGAAGTTCCACCAAGTTGCATGTGAAAAACGTTGCCTCCAACTTCTTCCCATTTGGGAAGGTAATTTGCTTTTCCCTATTGTCATTTATCAACTGCATGGACTTCCATTGTATTCAGAAGCTCAATACAGTTGTTGGTCCAAATGACAAATTCTGCAATGGATGTGGAGGTATTTTATGGATCTTCTCCTTAATAAGCAAATTCGACTTTCATCTTGTTTAACGAAATTCAGAATTTTTCGTCCGGTCTTCTAAATTTTGGATTGTTGCTCCTTTGAAAGTTATTGAATTTCTCTGTCGACTTAATTCGTACCCCTTACTTGTTAGAGGGTGCTATCTTTTCTGGCATTTCGGTTGACCAACGAGATGATTCCGCAGATTAAGAGGTCGAGGCTGCCCAGGACATATGGAAATCATAGAGGATTTGCACTTGTGGAATACGTCACGAAACAGGAGGCGCGGTATGCTCTGCGAGCACTGGCGAACAGCCATCTGTATGGAAGGCGTCTGGTAAGTCATCTTCTACTGCTCTAAATATGGCAAATTCCTAAGTGCGACTAAACCGGAGTTACAATCGTGATTCTCAGGTGCTACAGCGAGCGAAGGAAGGCGAGACCTTGGAAGAATTGCGTGCCCAGACCACTGCTCGGTTTAACGACGAAAGTGGGTACAGCACGGCCAGGTTGCCCAAGAAGAGGAAGCAGCACATGGCCGTGTTAGATGAGGATAGAATGAAGTTCAGAAGAATTGCCGCTTGATGCAAGGCTCAGTTGGAATTCCAAAAGACTCGCTTATCAAAGAATTGCTGCTTCAGGCGATGGCCTACAAAGGGGAAGAAGATGGTGTTTATTATGTGTGTAGTGATTGGCCCAGTTTTGCTAATTTTGGGTTCTAGTTTTAGGTGGTCAGCTGAACCCTCTTTTTGCCGCTCATGAAAGTGAAAAGTGATGCGCTGTACTGGCATGTTCAGTATGTGTGCTTGTTAATTCTTTAGACCATGGTAGATTTCTTTCTTCTTCCTTTTGGTATTTTGTTCCATATAGACCCACATAAATCTAGACTTTAATATTTCAAACCCATTTTGACCTATTTTAAAAAGTTTAAGTGGCTCATATTCAACATAGGTCCACTAAATCTGAGTTAATAAATGGATTTATGACCCATATTGTCAACTCTATTTTTTTTCAAACATTTGGGTGATTGGTAATAATAGATGATAATAGATGCATGCTCCCACTCTCATGCGTAAATTATGTTCGTGATTAGTTTGTTGCCTTCTATTTGGGAGGGGAAAAATATCTCTGTCACTGTAAATTTTAGGGAAAATTCCCCTTTAGAATACAATGGTAAATTGCTTATTGGTTATATTGCTAATTATCGTTCGCAATAGTCACCAATAATGTACACATGCGATCTGAGTTTATAGAAATTTATCTATCAACAACTGCTCGAGCGAAGTAATTTTAAGCTTGAACTTGATCGGACTAAGTACTCGAACCAATTATCGAAAACAACAAATCAAACATGGCAGGTTTCGATTTGTTAGTCCAGCTCTGTTAGCTCGAGCAAATATATATGATCAAATCGGTCACGTCACGTGAGCACGGCCCACTCGGAAAACACCTTTTCCTTTCCAGCCTTACGCTAGCGCACAGGTGAAGCTGAGGTAAAGAGCAGATAACACGCAGGCCATGTCCTCCTCCGCCTCCTCCTGCGGCGGCGGCTGCCGCTGCTCGTCGCCGTCGTCTTCTCCATCCATCTCCGCCGCCCCAACACCCTTCCCGTCCACCTCCAAATCCAAGCCCATCCTCACCATCAAGCCCCATGCCACCACACCCGCAATCCCCAGAATGTCCCTCGACCCTCGCAACTTCCACAGTCCTGCCCCCAAACCCGAACCCGAACCCGCCTCCTCCTCCTCCTCCTCCTCCCTCCTCACCGCCCTGACCGCCCTCCTGTGGGGGCCCTCCCTCCCGCCGGGCCTCCTCGTCACCACCGTCCGCTCCGCCTGGACCGCCGCCTGGCGCGTCATGATGTCCCAGCTCGCCCCGTCCGACCCCTCCGGCCGCTACGCCCGCCCCGCCTCCCGCTTCCGCCTCGCCGGCCCCTCCGGCCCGAGGCCCGGCGGCCTCCACCTCTACGTGGGCCTCCCCTGCCCGTGGGCCCACCGGGCGCTCGTCGTCCGGGCCCTGAAGGGCCTCGAGGAGGCCGTGCCGGTGTCCGTGGCGTTCCCCGGCGCGGACGGCTCGTGGGAGTTCCGGGACACGCCCGGCCCGGGAGGCGGCGACCTGGCCCCGGGCCGGGACAGGGTCAATAGGCGCAGGAACCTCAGGGAGGTGTACGGGCTGCGGAGGGGAGGGTACAGTGGGCGTTGCACCGTGCCGATGCTGTGGGACGTGGACCGGAACGACGTGGCGTGCAACGAGAGCTACGATATCATCAGGTTGTTCAATTCGGGCCTGAACGGGCTGGCCGGAAACCCGGAGGTGGATCTCTCGCCGCCCGAATTGGAGGCCGAGATCGAAGATTGGAACCGGGTGATCTATCCCGGTGTGAACAACGGAGTGTACAGGTAGAACTGAACGTGTTGAAAAAGTGTTAGGAATAGCGCTTTGGCTTCTCATTCAACGTTTGACGGTTGCTGTCCTATGGTGCTTGTCTGTCATTGTTTGATGCGGCAGGTGCGGGTTCGCGCAGAGCCAAGAAGCGTATGACGCGGCGGTGAACGAGTTGTTCCGCACCCTGGACATCTTGGATGATCATTTGAGCCGATCCCGGTACTTGTGCGGCGACAGACTGACCCTTGCGGATGTGTGCCTGTTCACGACCTTGGTTCGGTTCGATCTCGTGTACACTGTGCTCTTCAAGTGCACGAAGAAGAAACTGGTGGAGTACCCCAACCTTCATGGGTACATGCGGGACATTTATCAGGTACTAAATTCGCCGTCCCTTGTTTCAATTTTCGGTGCGAGACTAGCCATGCCCTGCGAGTTTGCGTAGATTGTGATAGCATAGTTTCCTGTTATATTGTTGTTCGATTGGAATTCAAGTACTTAATCCTATAACTCTATCATAGGCGGAAGATATCGAGGTAAATAACATTTAGAGTTCGCTTCAGACATTCTGATCATGGCAAATTACGGGTCAGAAATCTCTCTGGGCAGCTAATAAACATTCACAACATGAACATGTATGCTTTGATAGAAAGACTGCATAGAATAGACTAGGGAACTTGTATGGTTGCATTGCGCCCACATTCCGTCATTAAAAGAAGAAAACTGATAAGGAAACCGGCCGTGTTTTCTTTCTTTTATTTCGCTTCCATTTCCACGTTCTGTTTCGTGCATGATGTGCATCGCTGCCTAAGATCAAAGACGCCCGTAATTCTCTAGAGAAGTTGGAAGAAACCATACATTTTGGTGGCCATCTCTTGATCCCTTCTTCAGATCCGCCTTTTGTATTGTTTTTGAGTTCATGTCCTAACATCAAGGGGTTATGGCGAAAACCTGTGCTGACTCCAGTTTTGTAGATGGAAATGTTAAATGACGGAGCAGTGTTCTGTGAAGGCGTTTCTGACGCCTCTATTTTCAAAACAGGTGCCAAAAGTGGCGGCGACATGTGACTTCGACGCAATCATCGATGGTTACTACAGATTTCTTTTTCCTCTAAACCCGGGCAACATCAAGCCAGCCATGCCTTCAGCTTTCACGTGTGATGCTTTGTTCGAGCCCCACGGCAGGGAAAGATTGTCATCACAAAGTAGAGGGACTTTGGTTAACTCGTAATCCGACACGCCTCCCCAGTTAAACTGCAGATAGATATGGCTTGTACACATTCTGTATTAGAAGCAATGCTCGAGTAGAGTATGTTTCACACCCCCGAGGTCGTTCGAATTGCTTATACTCTCGCAAGATCAGTCGGAAAAAAAGAAGAAAACGGAGCTTTCTGAAGAAACGTGTTTCCTACAAAAGCTATGAGGGTTTCTTAAGGCGCTCTCACAGTGGCTTCATGAAAGAGCGCTCTAGAGCATACCGACATTCACAGTTGTGGCTGGTCCATGGACATTTCGATGTCAGAACAGACGAGCTTTTCCAGCTCTCTTCAAGCTGTTTTTCACGACATCATTCTTGGGTTGATCCTCCATTATTTTTTTTTAATATAACAAAAATGACATTACCCACGGATTCGGCAGTAAGCTTTGTAGGAGTGGGGAGACTACTATCGTAATCTGGAGCTTTGATCGTGTAGCAGGATTAGCTAACCTTCCTCACAATTGAGGGAATCCCCCTTGTACAAAAACCAAAATATACATGAAGCACTTAAGGGCATTCATCGGTATTTCCTAGTGGCGAAAGATACAACCTGAGCTATGATTAATTTAGCAATCCTTTGCATCCCTTCTTCTCGAAAGCCTAACCCAGAAGTTAAACAGAAACGACCCAACAAAGGACCAAGCGCAGAGATGGGAGACATAATAGAATGGACTATACATCCAAAAGATCATGTACACAAAGGGCTGATAACGTGTCTGAACTTTCGCACCCGAACTATATCTTACAAAACTTGAGGGCATGACACCAAAATAGAACTGCCCTCCAAACCAGCCATCCCGGCATTAGCATGAGCTTGTCATCTCGCTTTCTTAACTCCTGCACCACAGAAAACAATGTTTGGAACAGGACGGCCCAAAAATCACAAGAAGGGTTATCCAATTGGAGCATCTTGTATTTGCCTATCACGAGAAAATAAACATCGTAAAGAAGTTACCTAGTGCACAATAATTTGAATGCCCCGCCATAATTACACTAAAAGGAGTGCCTATTAGACTTATAAAGACAAAAATCAAGAAAGAGTAGCCTATCCTGCAACATTTAAGAATCCAGCACAGGTATACATCGCCATCTCCTTGTCTATAGAAAGGGGAACTTAGCATGTTAAACTGAATTTTAGTTGATGGAGAATCGCCACAAAGTCTCTTGGACACGTCTGCAAGGCTAAATCTCCTAGATAACTTTAATTTCAACAGATGAGGAACTAATTTAAACAGCAACGGTATCGCTATCTATTCCAAGAAAAAAAAAAAGATAAGAACTGCAACAGGACCTCCAAACCTTCTCTTTGGAGGGTACTCAAGGTAGAACCATTGGTGCTTAGTTGTTGCTTGGATTATCACCAGAAATTATATTTGTATACACATCTGGGGGCTCTATCCCTAGTTGTTCCTTTAGGATAAGGAATGCTGATTCTATAGGTGGGGTTTTTTCATTATTAGATCTTCATTCTCCTGATGAGAGAGAGAAAGAGAGACGAAGACTTACTGTTTGAGCGTTTTACGTTTCGACAGAATTTACTGCCACATAAACACTGGAATGCATTGAGAGAATGATCATGGCCATCAAACTCAACACCATAATCCTACAAGGGCAAGAAGCATTAGGTGTACAAACAGTAGGCATCAGAATAATCGAATAATGCAAGTAGGACAATAATAGGTTAAAACAGTAGATCATAACCTCTTGAACCAGTGGGCAACATCCAAACAAGCAATTTACTACAATCTTCTGTACTTTAAATAGAGAGACACTACTCTAAAATAGCTTTTGCAAAGTGCAAACTCTGGACAAAAACTTGTTATGCATGTAAATTTGGACTGCATAAGCTTCAGTCCGATTGTTATTATATGTGGACAAGGTACAAACAAAACGTACATTCCAATTTCCTTATTCCAGGTTCAATATTGAAATGTCTGAATTTCTTCATCACTCATGGACCCTTGCAATCCTATACGGAGACCAAGACGATATATATAGATGCTTGATCTGATGGATGTAAGCACAGATGATAAGGCAAATGCCTCAATCAAGTCCTCAAATATGCATTTCAATAACCAAACCATTAGTATCTAAAGACTTGGGCAATCTTAAGATTGATCAAAACGCTCTTGATCACTCAAGCACTTAATTCAATAACATAATCAATAGATCACTAGGGAATTATAGAACCTTCCGTTAAGGCTGAAAGATATCAAAAAGGAAAATTTCACTTAATGTCACAGCTTGTGACACAATGCAAATGAATCGGACTCGACAAAAACATAAATGACGCCAACATGACATCACTGGTAATTTAATGATACATCACATATCTCAAGTTGTAAAAATGAATAGAACTTATACAACATTTCTTAAGTTGTAAAACTGAATAGAATGATATGATTTGTCTTCTATTCTTAATTTATGGTGAATTTGTCGAAAAGTACAGGCTGAAGATTTTGATTGTCAAAACACAAGCAGTAAAAATCAAAGAAAGTCATACAATTATACATTTCACTTGTACAACATTCAGACAGGTCAGTCATCCTTCATAGTCCAGTGAAAGCAACACAAAGACAGAATATATACAAAACTGTACTAAAATCAGGTATAACTCAACTGACTCACCCAAGTCAGCTCTTCCAAGGCCTGTATTTTTCTAGCAGTGAATAATGCGAGCTGCAAGAAGAGTTTATACAAGATATTATATTAGACCATCTCCTATAGAATAATAGTTCCCAAAATCAAAGAAAATAATGAAGATCGAAACTTTTCATACACGATAGTAGTGATGCTTTGGGGTCTCCACCTCAATTGGGATCTCAATTAAATTGGCATCATAACATCTAGCAAAATAAACAAGAAAAATCAAAATTGCCACATGTGCATGTATATTTGGTAAAAATGCAGACTAAAAATTCATAAATTTACTGCACAGCCCATCCTACCCAAGCTTTGAACTTTCATGACATTTAAAACTGAGACTACGGTAGCCGAGATATAAGTCCACACATAAAAGTGAACCAAAAGAAAAAACAGTACATGTATTATGTTCAAGAAGAAATTATGCCTGATCGAAAAAGGTTTAAGAAAATCTATGCCTTTACAAGCTCCTCTAACTGAACAAAAGTCAAATTCAACAATATTTAAGGTCAACATACTACAAGTCCAACAAACTTTTTTCCATTATCAGTTAACAAACCTTTTCCGTCGATCTGTTAAAATCAATCCAATGACAGAGTTATGCCGATAACACGAAAATGGTGCATCTAACATGGAATGTAGAATTTTTAAGACAAAATCAATTCATTGTAACTAAACCAATAGGTTCCTGATGATAACAGTGATACAGAAGTTCTGATTGTGGTTTCTCTTGGAGATCATTATTTTTCCTCTTTTGACAATTGAAGAAGCCTTTTCTTCCAAAGCGACACCAAGGGAGTACCAACCTAGCAGGGTGCTTGCTTTTAGTTTCTATAACAAAGGATGAAAAGAGACAGCATAGAGTAAGTGAATCCTCCATTTCATCAGGAATTATGTTGATGGTCACCAGCATGTAAGAGTTAAGTGATAGTTTTGACATCATCAGACACATAACTAGTCCCTCCAAGGGACCAAAAAAATAGGTGAAAACAGCACATTTTTCCAAAGCCTCTGATGCTTACAGCTAGAATCTCACAATGAGTCCGTTACAAGTTAATCCCTATCAGCAAATTAGCTAGGTATTTGAGTTCTTTGGCGGTAGGGGGTGAGGCAGTAAAAGATAAACACATTAGCCCAACTAGCAACTAGCCTTCCAACATCAAGAAATGGAACGTTCTCTCATATGGCTTCCCTATCAAAGAATTTTACTCGAAAATGCAGTTCCAGAAATGGAAAAGGTTAATTGTAATCAAGTTAAATCAAGGAGTCCAAAACCCTACAGTACCGATCGGGGAAAGACCACGACTGGCTTTTACCTGAATTTAAGAATGGGCTGCACAACTCTAAAGGATTGGAATAGGTTCAGTCTAGCCCTCTGACACCCAACAAATTACCTGGGCAGATTTTCCTTTTCCCTTCCCACCTTGAAAGCTTTCCTTTTCCACCACACATGAAGATATCTCAGAGAGGTCTCAACCAGAACCATCATAGTTTTCCTTTTCAGCCTATGCTTGACAGCCAACTGCCATGAAATTTGTGAAAGCTCTTTAAACCATCATCGTCGTTGAGATTTAAGTTCCTCCAAGCTATGGCCAAGAAGAGCTTGGACCTTGGATAAAGATATTTAGTGTTTTTTGGGTTATTGTCATCTCTAGGTGTCAACAACCAATTGGAAATTCTGTAACAAGCGGAAGCAAATTATGCTTTGGTTCAGCTGAAGGTGTATCCATATGAGTACTAATCAATTTCTCTTGCTGATGCCCTTGATTTGGGAAACATGTTCATGATTTAAAGATCTCAATGCTCCGTGTATATGGAAAATTTAGCTGGTTTAGTGCTTTAAATGTGGTACGTCGTTTTGTTCAATTGGCCTTCTACTTTAAGTTAGTTTTCAATGCCTTTTCTCACAAGCTTGAAGAAGGGGAGAACGCAACAAATCAGAAAAAGCGGAGCAGAGTTGGGGTCTGATTTCTACAGTCACTCAGGAAACAATAGCAGTTCCATGCCAAGGCACTCAACTCAGTTTCACCAGTTTTAATACAGGAGTTCTACAATGAATGAATAAGGAAATCCTTTCCAGGTGCATAGAATTTTTATGCTGTTTTGAGATATAAGCTTGCAATGCCCAGCCAAAAGTTGGATTCTCAAAGCTTTAGACCAAAGGACTTACGCTAAAAAAATGAACTTTCTGTCAAGAGCTACATTTACGAATTAGGCCATCCAATATTGAGTAATTTCCATCTTATAGGCAGATGCAATAACAATCGAAGAACTCAAAGACCAAATAAACATAAGAATGCTTCTTCTCAAAACAAACAAATACCTATGGTTGATAAACCTAGCAATGTTTCCAAAGGTTGTTGAATCCAGACAAAGAGCTTCATCATCCTTCACACACATGGAGCTCCAATCAGAATCAAGGAGCACCTGATAAGTACATTTTGCAGCGTCGCCCTTCTTTGAATTTCGCTCGTGCATTTCCTTGGTGGTTAATATTTCACCAACGTACTCACATACAAATGCACCTTTAGGCAGTTCATCCAGTGTCTGCAGACCCCACCCTTTTCCTTCGGGCGTCATAAACACCTAAAAGACAAAATCAGTCGCAAAAGAGTACAGGCTTAAGCTTGAGGGTTCCAAAATATTAAGTCGCTCACTGCAATAGTAACTGGAACACTTTTAAGAATGATAATCACGACAAGAACCAAATATGACAGGTACAGCTACACTAGGCAAAAGCTTTAACACAACACAAAAACAATTTTTTACCTGCAAATTATAACTTATGCCCCGCTGCACCACTCGATTGCCACAATGTTTACCACAACCACACTTTCTCCAGCATTCTTTGATAAATTTTCTCTTCAGGTGGCCCTTGCACGGTTTTAAAAATTCATAATCTTTTGACTTTTCTAGAGGGCATTCCCGACAGTACAAGTGGTGGCTCTTTTTAGGGTCCCGATTGACAAAAATACACTTCTGCAAAAAGGCTTCCTTTACAAGACCTTTTACAGTGTAAATAAACTCACCCCCATTTGCACATGCACAAGCACAGGGTACCGGTGAAGGCAGGCAGTCACCATAACAATATGAACAGCAATTCTCATTTCTGATCTCAGAAAGGGAGAAATTGAGAGAAGCACTAGAGAAAGCCAGGCTTTGGGGTATGTAGTGAAAGGATGGTGGACACTGATCATCGATCTTGTTAACCCATGGTATTTTTACTCTTTCTTCTCCTTTGGCTATGTCATTGACATCATGGAGAGACCTCAGATCAGTAGGAGTTGACTGACTCTTCGAGAAAACCACCAGACTACGCGAATCAGTGTCTCCATGTTCTTCTGACAGCTTCCTTTGACTTCCAGCACAATCAATTGCGGTACTGTTTTTGTTTATTTTCAAGTGATCATTGCTACCATCTAAAGACCCCGGCAATCTTGGAATTCGTGGTGCAGCTGCCCCAATTGATCCTTGAACATCAGGAGATCCATTGGCAGCATTACTGTGTACAATGGAGTTTGTTTTACGGCTTCCAACATTGAGAATGTCCTGCATAACAGATCTCTGTAAGGTATCAACTGTAGGGTCCATATTGATTGATAGTTCTCTTGATGTATCAGTAGAGTCGCTTCCTAACTCCAGAAAGCATTGGCACATATCTCTCATCAGTTTCGAGACAGAAAAACTGGGGTCAATGATTTTATGGGATTGCAGATATTTATCCTCCATCAACTTTAGAACCGCATCTATACTAGGCATATGAAAGTCTGCTCTTCCACAGGGAGAGTTGCAGCTCAAAGTAATTTTTACCTCTCCCAAGGGCGAGGAGGCAATCTCTAGGTTGGTAGGAGATTCCTCTGCAATGTTAGCAAGCTCATGGTCGTTCCTATACTCACTTGATGATGTGCAGACAGCTGTGCCTCCTCTTCCACCAATCATCTCCTTCCCAAGTGCAGAATCTCCTTTATTGATTGGATCTACATGTATTAACCAAACGACATCAACAAACACCACTAGACTCCGAAATTACAATCAGTATTTAATAAGACAGCCCTAATAACAATAAAATGCACAGTAACAGCCAATTCAAGAGTTTTCCCTTCCAAAAAAACCCAACCGAGCAGACAAGGATTAGTCTACTCAATCATCTTCTTTTTCTTCTTGGCATTGATGGAAAACATAGAACAACAGTAAATGGAGTCAGATACTTCTCTATTAAAGGCTAGTAAGTTTGAAACTTTATGCTTTTGGCTTTCAGAACAGCATATTCTAAATGCTTTTGTCATATAGATCCATACTTTAGCCTGCAGACAGTTTAAGAATGTAAGTTGGGCACCCCCTTGCCTCTTTGCTCAGTAACTTCCTAATTGAAGTATGAAGGGAGACTATCATGACTAAGTGGAATTAATTGGGAGTTCTGAGAGTCCTGGCCACTTGACGTTGTTAAAAAAAGAAATCTATTTTCCTTGAAAAGATAGAACCAAAAGGACCAAGTGAATGAAAAATCAGGAACAGTACATACATAAATCTTTGTTTAGTAGTTAGTACATCCATAAATTAATTGAATGATATCGAGCTACTAAAGTCTACTTAACCATATAAGAAGACGATTCTATTGTCATTGAACATGCATAGACATCACCGGCGGCATTTCCTTCTGCTCAAGAAAATGAGAGAGGGAACAGAAAAAAATGAGGGAGGGAACAAGAAAGAAAGAGATGGAGGATGAAGGGAGAAAGAGATGGGGAGCAGGCAAAGGGTATGAAAAGTCAGAGAATGTAGTTTCTTTTTTCCTCATCCTCATCAATGATCTGAGTCACCTACAGGCCCAAGCAATCATTCCCTCCCCTCACCCGAAAGAAACTGACAAACTTTAGTCATTATGCAGATGAGTCAACAAAACTACAAGACCAGTCAAAACTAAAAGACCAGTCAAACAAACAAATTATTAAGTAAACATGGACCTGGAAGTATAGTTGCAATAGGAGTTTCATTTAGGGGCTCATCATCATCATAAGTCTCATCCTTTAGATCATTACATGGCCTCTCAGGTATAGAGCTTCTATCGATCAATTGAGGAGAGAGAGGCCCCTTTCCTTTGTCTCTGATTCTGATAGAAGCATCGGAGGACATTACTGAACATGTTTCACTAACTTTAGTAATAGATAGCTGTGACAGGTTGTTTCTATCAATTACTGCCAAAGCCATGGGAGAAATGGGTTGTTTTCCCTTGTTCATATTATTTTGCTGGACTGAAGAAGATTGGATTTCTTGCCGCTCAACCATAGGCTGGAATGATGTTCTGCCTAATTGAGAGTTTTGATTACTAGGAGAAGCAAAGCCCTGAGATTCTTGGTTTCTCGACCTCAATCTTTTTAACGGGCGTTCAACCTCATGCATTTGAGCTTCTTCCTCCAAGTCATCCTCCTACAGAGCCAAAAAGAGAAGAACAAAAGTTATTTAAAGATGGTCAAACAGTTGTAGTCACAATAGAGCAGATCACATACATCTGCAGCACTTTTTCGCTTTTGCACCTCAACCTGTACAGCAGATCATAAACAAAGATGAGAAAAGCAAGCTGGAAAGAAGAGGTGCAAAAGAGAGGGAAACATTGATGAAGCAAATATAGACCAGTTCTAAGGATCCTGCACCTTATCATCCTCCTCATCGAATATAGCATCCGCAAGAGCTCTATAGTTTTCTTCTTCAATCAGCTCCCACTTCTTTTCATATAATTTCAGGAGTTTCTTCAGCACTGGTTTCACCTTGTCTTCACTGATTCCGATAGCCCTCATTGCCGCAAAGGCTGCCTTTACTTTGGGGTTAGGTGCCATAACTCTTCACGCTCTTGGAAGTAAAGAGGGCTTACAATTGTTGGAAGAGCCTACATTGTCTGAATTGTGAGATACAAGCTCCAGAGAGCTCCACATATAATTTCACCAAACACACAACTTCGAGACAAAAAAGATCATACCAAGAAAAAATGAAAAAACGCTAGCCTGCAGTGACCTTATAAATGAATCAAAAGGTGCATCACCAAGAAGAACATTCAAAAGAAAAATTAAACAACCTAACAACACCAATACTAAGTGAGACCAGAGCATGCATCCCATAATTGATTTACAAAGCAAAAGCTGAAGAATGTGAAGACTCTGATCCCTCAAACTATCTTCCATTGCATTCTTATTCTTTCCAAATGCACCACGAGGCACAAGGGGTTTACACTCAACTAGTTTTCATAAGCAAATCTCGTTTAAGCAATGAAAAATTAACATAAAGAAGTAGCAGAAGATAGGCATTACAAGACAACAAAGTGAAGCATGATTCGAAAATATTGAACAAATTCTGATGAAAATTACAACAATGTTGACCATTTATGTATATTCCTGTAAAAAAGGGTGTCCCCAGCACATGGCAGCACACATGGCTTATTGCCACGAGAGGGTTGGGGAGATTCCTTCGTGTCAAAGTAAACCCTCAAAATTGCTTTTGACCTTTTTGGAACTCATTAAAGCTGGACACTTTTCCACCCTTACCAAGTTACCACCACAAAGAACAAGCATCAAAGTTCTACAGTAAATGCAAGGCCCAAAAGGGTCAGCCAAAAGCACTATGCAAAACCGATCCTGGGAAGAGTGTTGCATCAAGTTTTTACAGGAATGTTAATGCAGCAGCATAACACGGACTTTTCACCCAAAAGGGTTTCATGCTCTAACTTCCACAGTAACTTCGAAAGTTCCTATAATATGAAGAAATACAACCACACAAGCATATTTTTTTCAAACGGGTCATCTCAATACAACCGGAAGCCCTCCAAACGACCACACTGCAGACCGAGCGTAGAGCTCAAAAACAGCTGCACCCAGCTCCTTAAGCTTTCTGAAGGCACGGACCTCCCACCACCGAAAAACCCCAGAGAACCCACATTCTCGACAGACCCGCTACCCGACTTCCCCGCGCGCCTAACCAGAGAGGGACCCAAAACGATCGGCGACCCACTCACCCCCCCCCCCCCCCCCCCAAAGGGCTCAAATGCACCAAGCAATTACGGCGACAAGCCCATCTTTCGAACGGCACGAAACTTCTCGGCAGGAACGAACGATGATGGGTCGTTCGAACCACGCGCCCAAATGCAAGCGAAAATCGAAGCAGAGGAAGCGACCGCGAGAAGGAAAACGAGAGATTGAAGGGCGGGGCTTACCAGTTCGTGCGCAGGGAGAGAGGGAGTGTCGATAGGGTACGAACGAACCACGGTGGCCGCGCTCGTTGAGGAGGCCGGACGCTCGCCGTTGTTCCTTCGTCTCTCTCTATATAACGCCTTCGAGAGAGGGAGACGAAGGGGTCTGATTGGACGCAGGTTTTGTCGAAACCCTGCGCCGGGAAATGGATAGCCTTGTCCCCGCTTTTTCAATTCTTCTCCGGTAGCCGGTCCGATTCTCCCTGTTTGGTTGCCGGCGCAGGCTTTTGTGCTTTCCTTGGATGGATTTCGAAATGCCCTGTGGACCGGACCGTCACAGAACCGAACCGGATCGGACCGCGAAAATTCGATCGGACGGAAATAGAAATCGAAGAAAATCATTTTACAAATCGGAACTGAAACGAACCAAATTGCAATAATAAGTGCAGTCGAGTTTCAAAATGCACTAAAGAGAAAAATTAAGTTCACGAAAGATTTCAAACAAAGCTCGTGGAAGAAATCAATCGCAGTTTGGATATCATGCTCTCAAGTTGAACAAGGAAATGTGTATTTTCATGAAAATAAAACTTACAAGGCTTCAAAATAATTTGATGGGTGGAAGCAAATTTCAATCAATACCCAAATTTATATTCTTTTACTTTCGATATTGTTATCATTTTAGGATGATGTTACCATCGAGGTCGGCGATGATTTAGGTGAGCATTTTACTCCGATCGGAATAAAAACAATTTGATCTTTTATTTTTTTAATTTTTTGTTTCTTTTTTTTCTTTTTTTCTTTTCCTTTTCTTCTTCTTTTTTTCCTCTTTTCCCTCCGCTGGCCATAGCTAGGGCCGCGGAGGTTAATGCTTTAACATAGATGAAAATTAAGGCGTAACGTATTTTTCTCGACCAACTGTTAGAGGTTGTCTCATAAGAAGTTCAAATTGAAGGGATGTATCGAAAAAAGAAGAAAAGGAAAAGGAAAAGAAAAAAACAGAAAAAGGAAAAAAGAAACAAAAAAAATTAAAAAGTAAAAAACGAAATTGCCCTTATTCCGTTCACCTTCGAATGAAGGCTACGACGGCCCTTACTTTAAACTAAATTAGTCACTACCCTATTTTGAGATTGATTGGGTACTTCATGCCCTTATTTCAAGCACGTTGACAATGATCGAAAAAAAATGACCAAACTTTGGGTATTGATTTGAAATTTTCCCTTTAATAAAACATGAAAAGGATCAAAATAATAATAATAATATTAACGAGTGTAGCGTACTTTTCTCGACCCATTTGTTGGAAGTTGTCTTGTAAGAAGTTCAAATAACACGTACGATTTAATTTTCGGTGGTCTCAATCATGGGAAGTACCATGGCCCAAAAAAATGAAAAAAAATTGTATGAAGTACCAAGAAAAATACTAAAGTTAATACCACGAAAAACTCCAAATATGTACATCTGTGTCAAATTTACCCCAAACTAATTTTTCGACCATCAAAAACCCCAAACTAATACACTTATAACAAATTTACTCCAAATTAATTTTTTGACCGTCAAAAACCTCAAACGGATACATTTGCACATTTTGTTAGTTTCCATTAAATTGGATTAATACCTCAAAAAATCACAAACGGGTACACTTGCGACAAACGGAAGATAAAACCCAAAACCGGTATATCCGTCACCTATCGCCTGTCATTTAACAAAGTAATTTAATAATAAAATTTAAAGGAAACTAACTGAGGGTAAATTTATCACAAGTATACTAATTTTGGGTTTGTTGTGGTCAAGAAATTAATTTAAAGTAAATTTATCACAAATGCATCAATTTAAGGTTTTCATGTTATTAACCTAAGATACTATTTTCTACATATTGTATGCTCCAGCATGTAATACAGATTTCAGGTTTTTATTTTTTTTGGGACAAAGCAACATGGGATAATGAAATGAAAGGTTTCACGAAGTGTTTGGATTGTCTGGTAATTCGATTTTACATTTTTTCCCTGATTTTTGGGGGAGAAAATAGCTAGGAACTCAAATACTTTTATTTGGCTTGATAAATAACATCATACACATGGGTCATGCCCATTAGTTGAAATCCAACTTGAAACCCTCTTCTGCAGTTTGGCGCTCTTGGAATAGGAATCAAACCCTTGCTCGTCATAATTTTTAAGCACTTTGCTCCGACCAGTCCATTTTCTATTACTTTTATGTGCAATCAATCTCGAGCTCCAGTGGCCAAACAATCAATCTCGAGCTTCATTTCTTTAATGACGACGATCTTCCATTATTTCTGCTGCGTTCAACTTCAACGCATGGTCGCACGACGTCACGAACGTGTCAGAGAGTGACAACGACAACTGTAACACTGCTTCTCCGTTCATCATCCTAACCAACCAACCGGCCACCCTCGACAACGCTACCGAGTATTACTTCGTTTACACCTTTGCTAATGCTGAATGTTGCTCTCCGGGCCAAAAATTAGTGGTTACCATAAGTGAAACTTCTACCAGCCCGACCTTTAGTCCATCGGGATCCCCATCACTACCAGCCTCAACCACCGGCACCACCACATCTCCGCCACCACTTGGAAGTGATGCTTCATCTCTCGGTATGCCCTGCTATTCCTGTTCATGTCCATTGCCAAAAGCTTATTATGTTAGCCCATAATACATAAGGATCATTATTTCTACTAGAAATAGGTGGACTATTGATAGATTGTGAGATGTTGCTACTCGTCATTAAGGTGAATAAACTCGTTAAGAGGCTTCTTCTCGCAATTCCAGCATGATTCGTACAAATAACAGTGCTCAAACTTGTAACAGTTCATAAGTTTCTCTGGAATATTTATATGGTTTTGCTTCAAAATTCTGAAATTCGGCTGTATTCGCAGTTCCTGATGAAGACCAAGAACTCTGGAAAAATTAGAAAGCAGCAGGAGACAAAAACTTGCATACTGGAAAGTCGAAACAGAGCATCACAAGAACAAATACACATTGGCGTAGCCAAAAAAAGGAGCATTGGAATGACTAATGAACAGAAGAGTACATCGCGTGGTGACAGGATAAGCGGTGTAAATCTTGTTAGGATCAAACTCCACGCATAAACAGTTCAGTGAGAATTTAAATTGACAATGAAACTATGAACTCACTCTCGCAGACTTGCAGCATATCAAATTCACACCCTGTGAAATTGGCTTGAAAGAACCCGATGAATTCTGGGGCATCGAGAGCGCCATAAATCCAGCAGTATGATCTCTCTTCTTAGCCTGTGTGTTTTTGCACTTTGCCTCCAGAACCTTCCTTAATAATCCACATGTTAATAATTATATTACCTCGAGCAGTCATATGAGAACAGACAGAAAGGAGAATTACAGTGCAAATATCTCATAAGAACAATGAAAAACCAAGTCAAGCAATCAGGAAAAGCAAGTATATTCACATCATTCCTGAGTGTAGGATTTCAATTGTCCACCTTAAGAAACTGAAATGACCATGTTCAAAGGGATTTCTTAAAGAGCTGCATGTTCTTTCAATGTCTCGAAATTTCTACCGCATCAACATCGCATATAAACTAGTATGCTATGGCATTACAAGAATCAAACAGAAGATATAAGTTTAACTTGCCGTGTAAACAAAAAAGGCACGTTTTTTGATGGTCCTAGACCATGCAACAAAAGGGCTGCCAGTATAATGTCCATGATGAAGAATCATAGTGGATGACAGTGACAAATGATTTTTCAAAGGGATTAGATGATTCTGTCTCCGACAAGGGCCTTACATCCTACCATCATGAATCATTCACTAGAAACATAAATCACTCGACAAAGTACAAAGAAGAATCACTCACAGATGATTCAGCAGGACTGCCAGCTTCATTCCTGCCATTATCAAGACTAAGATTTCTCCTTGTTTGGGGTCATTGCTCGGTTTAATATCCAACTCTCACCAGAACGTGATCTCCTTGACATCATAACTAACAAACTACGATAATTCTGTATAGGGAAAGCTCCAGACAATTCAGGTATTGCTTTTAGCGACCTGCATCTGGAAATATCTAGAGCTCGTAGAAGCTCCAAGTCTCCAAGCCCTCGAGGCTCAGTTAGTTTGTCGCAGTTGTGCAACCAAAAATTGCAAGTTCTAACACCCTGACAAATCTGGTAAAGACCCGATTGACGAGCATCGTGAAATTTCTACAGTTTCTGGGTATCTCAATCTTTAGGGCCCTGGGATATCTGAAAGTTCCCAACAGACTGTCATTATCAAGTTGCTTCAAATTTCCAAATTCCAACACATCTGAAAATTTTGCTAGCGACTTGCATCCCTTAATACACATACTTTTGCAGGATGAGAATTCCTCTAGGCTTTGAATGTCATGAAGCTTTGCACAGTGGTTGATGTTCAACCACATCAGGGTTTTCAAGGACGACAGGTCCGGAATCTTCCTAGGGAAGTGCAACGACAGATTTCCAGTATTACCAATAATTCCAGCCCATCAAGACCACCAATTTCAACTAGACTCTTGCATTGGCAGCATGCAATGCCCTCAAACTCTTTAAACTAGAGAGCTTTGGTAGTCCTTCGATAGATGTGCAACCAGATATATGCAATCTTACCAATAAATCCAACCTATCAATACTGTGAAGCCCAACTAGACTCCAGCAATTTGCAGCATAGAATTCCCTCAGATGTTTTGAACTTGAAAGGTCTGGTAATCTTTTGATGGACAAGCATCCAGATAAAGCTTTTCGAAGATTCTAACCAGTCAAGGCCTCGAACATCAACTAGATTCTTGCAGTTTGTAGCGTGAGATTCCCTCGAATTTGTCAAACTGGAAAGGTCTGGTTATTTTTCAATAGATATGCTCCCAGAGATATTCTATCTTGCCAGTAAAAACAACCTGTAAAGACCATGAATTTCAACAAGATTCCAGCAATTTGCAGCATGGAATCTTTCCGGTGCATCCAGAGATATTGAACCTTTCCAGTGATTCCAACTGGTGAAGGCCTCGAACTACAACGAAATTCTCACAGTTTGCAGAATCTACTTTCTTTCAGACTCTTTAAACTTGAAAGGTCAAGTATTGAATGGGCATGCAACCAGAGATATTCATACTTACCAGATTCTTGCAATTTGCAACACATAATAGCCTCAGATATTTTGAACTTGAAAGGTCATTGTGCAATGGACCTGCATCCGGAGATGTTCAAGTTTTCCAGGAAATTTAACCTGTCAAGGTCTCGAATTTCAACTAGATCATTGCAGGTTGCAGCATCGAATTCCCTCAAATTCTTTGAACTTGAAAGGTCGAGTGATTGTTGAATGGTCATGCGCACAGAGACTCCCAAACTTACCAACAACTCCAGCCCGTCAAGACCATAAAATTCAATTAGGTTGCGATTTGCAGCCCACAAAAATGTTTCAAAATCGAAATATCCAGTGATTGTGCAAAAAACCTTCACCCTGGGATATCCAACCCTTCTAAGGATTCTAAAACATCAAGGCCTTGAATTTCAATGAGATTCTCACAGTTTGCAGCTTGTAATATACTCAGCATCTTTAAACTTCAAAGATTCAGTGATTGTTCGATGGACGTGCACCCAGAAATATCCCATTCTCTCAAGTATTTTGTTCTATCAGGGCCTTGAATTTTAACTAGGTTCTTGCAGTTTGCAGCACGGAATCCCCGCATATACCTTAAAGTTGACAAGTTGATTGATTGTCTAAGGGATGTGCACCCAGAAATATCCAAATTGCACAAAAATTCTAATCCATCAATGCCTCGAATTTCAACTAGGTTTTTACAATTTGCAGCACAGATATCCGAAAGATTTTTATGGTTTGAAAGGTTCAATAATTGTCTAAGAGATGTGCACCCAGAAATATCCATAATTTTCAAGGATTTAAAGCTATCATGGCCTCGAATTTCCACTAGATTCTCGCAGTTTGCAGCATAGAATTCTCCCAGAGTCCTTAAATTTGACAGGTCCAATGATTGTCCAATGGACGTGCACCCAGAAATATTCAAAACATACAAGAATTTTGGTCCATCAAGGCCTCGAATTTCAACTACGTTCTTGCAGTTTGCTGCATCGAGTCTTCGCAGATTCTTTAAATTTGACAAGTCCGGTAATTGTCTCAGGGACGTGCACCCAAAAATTCTCAAATCTATCAAGGATACTAATCCATCAAGGCCTCGAATTTCCACTAGGTTCTCGCAGTTTGTAGCTTCAAATGTCAGCAGATTCTTTAAATTTGACAGGTCTGGTGATTGTCTAAGGGATGTGCACCCAGAAATTTTTAAATTTCTCAAGGATTCCGATCCGTCAATGCCTTGAATGTCAACTAGGTTCTTGCAGTCTGCAGCACAAAAATTCCGCAAATTCTTTAAATTTGACAGGTCCATTAATTGTATAAGGGATGTACACCCAGAGATATCCAATATTCTCAAGGGTTCTAATCCTTCAAGGCCACGAATTTCAGTTAGATTCGTGCAATTTGTAACATGTAATTCTCTCAGATATTCTAAACTTGAAAGGTCTTGGGATTGTCCAGGGGAAGTGCACTCAGAGATATCCAATGCTAGTGAGGATTTTGATCCGCCAAGGCCTTGAATTTCAACTAAATTCACGCAACTTCCAGCATTTGTTTCCTGCAGAATCTTTGAATTTGAAAGATCTAGCGATCCTTCAAGCTGAGGTACCTTTGCAATCGTTAACTTTGAAGAATCTAGGAACGCCTCATCGAGATGCGAGCCTCTCAATGACTCCAAGGATTTGACCGCACCAAGCCTATATATCTTAGGGCATTGCCGTAACTGTAAGTTGGATAGGGATTGTAAACCTTCCAAGCCGGTGACTTCTGTTAGCTCTAAGCACTTCTCGAGAATCAATTCAGATAAGTGCTTCAAGTATGACAAATTCGTCAACGCTTTCAATTTTCCACAATCTGTAATATAAAGCATTGATAGTCCAACCGGAAGCTCTGGGAGACATTCAAGCCAACTGCAATCAGAAAGAGTGAGTTTGTTGAGAAGCGTTAGTTGGGAAAGATGTGGTAATGGCGGACTCTGACAGGTTACACCTAGAGCTGTTAAGCTAGAGGGCAGTTCTGGTACTTCTTGAAGCTTTTCACAATATCGAAAGCTGAGGAGTTGGAGAGAAGAGAGCTTAGAAATGCTTTGCGGCAGGGCCAAGATGCCGGACTTGTCTAATTCAAGCATGTTAAGTGAAATCAGTTCGCCAATGTCACTAGGCAGTCCTTTCAGATTTTCGCATCCTGAAACTCTCAACTCTTGGAGTTTTGCCAACATTCCAATGGCACGAGGCAATTTTGTTATGCCTGTTTTACTAATGTCCAAAATTCTCAAATTCTGTAGATGCATAATGCTTTCAGGTAATTCCGCAATTGTTGTATTGGCTAAATGCAGTGTAGTCAAAGACGTGAGGGAGCCTATGGAGTCCGGAAGTTGAGCAAGTTTACCGCATTCTCTTAGGTCAAGGATAGCTAGAGATGCTAGACGGCCTATGGAGCTCGGTATGTGGGCTAACGATTTACAATAAGAGGCATTAAGAGTCTTAAGCTTCTTCAGAAAACCAATGGATTCAGGTAATTTTTCAATTGCTGAATAAGATAGGTCCAACTGAGTTAACGACACAAGAGAGTTCATAGATTCTGGAAGTTGAGCAAGTTCTTCACAATTCGAGGCACTCAAAGTCTCCAGCTTCATCAAACAACCTCTCGAAATAGGAATCTCTTCAATGGCAGTATAATTTAAGTGAAGCTCCCTCAATTCTTCCATTCTACCTATTCCTACCGGTAGCTCCTCCAGTAGAAAACAGTGATTGATTTTCAAGGAGACAAGGGTCTTGATGTCCCCGATGGAAGGATGAATCTCTTGCAGATGCCAACAATTGTCAAGAATCAAAATTTCCAAGCTTTTGAAAGCAGATAATTCGGGAGTTCTTCTTAAAGATTGACAGCCCGTGAGGTTAAGAACTTTAAGCTCAATTGCCATCTGAAATAAAAAAAAAAAGATACCTCACCGTGATTGCCATCTAAACATAATAAAGTTTCTCAAGAATGTCCATGCTCATCTACTCCTTAGTTGTTTACTTTTAAATGTTTCTTTTAGTAGAATTTGGCTACACCAACGTATAAATGTTTTTTCAGCATATCCCTTGCGAAAAGAATGGTAGGGATGTCGGAGTGCTTACTACGTTTAGTTACGGATAACGTTTCAAAGAAAAAATATACTTAGTTTTTAAAAGTTAAGGCGACCCATTCTTTATTAATTAGACATAAGCAAATTTTATTATCAAAAGGCAGATCAGAAACTAAATGGAAGAGAAAATCATTCACTGAGCGCCACGTTTTCTTTCAATAGTATGAAATGAACGGGAAACGGCTAGTTTAATTATGAAAAGTATTTCAATGCTATATGTACAAGATATAAAAAAAAGTTAGGTTCAAAAAGAATTAAATGCCATTGGAAAAGAAAATTTTGTTATTCTTGTTACATAAATAGTTTACAAATTACAATGAAAAAATATTGGGTGCAACAAGTTAGAGCAATTCATAAACGATTTCTGTTACTCTAAGACAGATATGAATGTAGAATTTCAGCATGTATGTACAACACAAGTCATGGTGTCTGTGAGGGACTTGTTTCTTATGAAAGAAGATTGATATAGCCATATAACAAGAATCGCTAAAAAGATGGACTTTTGCACGGGGAGAAATTAACTCAGAAGCCACAAACCAGTTAGATTAAAAAAAATCAAGTTAGGCACAAAAGTTATATATATTTTTAAGAGATGTTAATTAATATAGCTAAAAAAGTTTTTAGTATGTCTAATGTCAAGCATGACTGGTTGTTAAGATATTAAGGGGCAGAAACTCCCATAATCTCTTATATTTAGGCTCCGTTCGTTTCGCGAAAAATATTATGTTTCCGAAAAGTCATTTTCCAGGAAAACGATAATATTTTCCCATGTTCGATTGAGATTTGAAAATGAATTGGAAAATATTTTCCGTCGTTCGGTATATATAATCTGATTTGATTTTCTTCATTGCACTCCTTTTAATATTTTTTAAATTTTTATTTTATTTTTAAAAAATCGAAGTTTAATATTTTTGAATTTTTGAATAATTTTTTATATTTCTTTTCTTTTCTTTTTTCTTCTTTTTTTTATTTTTTTATTTCTTCCTTTGCCGGTTGCCGGCCATGGCGATGGCCAATAGCCGGCCACAGGCCAGCCCCACCGGCCTCGCTCACCCAAGGCCGATGAGGCTCAACCTCACCTCGCCAACCTCGAGCGAGGCGAGGCTACTCTCGGCCTCGCCCCAGGGTGGCGAGCTTGAGCCTCGCCTGTGGCTGGTCGCCAATCGTCACCGTGGCCGGCAGAGGAAGAAAGAAAAGAAGAAAAAAAAGCAAAGAAAAAGAAAAGGATTAAAAATTAAAATTTTGAATTTTAAAAAAAAAAGTAAAAGTAAAAATGTGTTTTGTGGAAGAAAGTGAGGTGAAAGAAGATATGGAAAATGTTTTTCACGACTAATTTATTTTTCGTGAAACGAACGCCGGAAAATCCGAAAAACGTTTTTTTAGAAGTTATTTTTCATAAAACGAACGGAGCCTTAGAGGAAAATCCTTAATTTCAGAAAGGATAATAAACCTCTCCAAAACAAAGAAAGGAGAAGTTAGTGTGATTGGACCTTCGACAACATGTGATTTTTACTCACAAAGAGATATTCCTTCTCTACATCGTACCTTGAGCGGACCCCATCCACCCCAGTCCTCCGTAATCTCACTCCATGATAGATCGAGCACAACCAATTTCTTTGGATGAAAGTTGGTTGCTGTGAAATCTGAGGGACAATTCATCCACTGAAGCCATCTTAATTGAGGAAACAAGTTCTGGAAATCTCCGGTGAAATTCACACCATCAAATTGAAGGCACTTTAAGTTGGTCAGTTCTTTAAATTGTTCAGTTGTGTATCTTCTTCCCATACCATACTTGCCAAGACAAAGGGCCTCAATTTTTCTGGTGCCCTGCAATTAGGAAACATTGTGGACCGTAAATTTTGAATGATGAGATGAGACCCACCAATATGAAATGAAAGGTATTGGTTTCAATTTGCTGTCATGCTATTATGGTGTAGGCTTCTCACTTTCAACTTTGTGGAATGACCGGTTGTGGTTGCGTATTGTTTATTTAATCTATGCAAAAAGGTGAAGCTCAAGAGATCGTTCCCAAACTTTTCCACTTCCAATTATGCCTTTCACTATTTTCACTTTTTGAATTTCCAAAATCTGCATCCTTTGGTTGGAATTACAATAGAAGGCCTCCCTTCATGTACACACTACTTCAAATATATCTACCAGAATTCATGCCCTTTATAAGTAAAATAACACTACATTTACTGATATCCTTTATATGTGAAACAACACGGCTGATCCAATCCAACTCCATCTATCAAACTTGTCATCTAAGCATGTATCAAAATTAAAGAATCCCAGTAATAGAATTCCCCCTCTTTTTCATGTGTACCTTGTTTGCAATTCTCAATAGCAAAATGAAAACGAGAATATCATCCCAAATATTAGTGCACGTGTTTTACATTCCTTTCTTATCATGTTTTTCTTCAATGTGGTTTTCACTGTGCATGGAAATATCAATTCGCCCACCCACAGATTAATTAATGAGATCTTGCTTACAGACAAATTAGTCATGAAGATTGATCAAAATGGATACTTGAGGAACTCAAGTCTGTTGCATTTGTCTTTCGTTGTAACCAAATTATTCATTTTTCGCGAAACATATGGAGCGTTATTATATAACATAGCTATTTAGCTCTACACATATATTAAGTATTATATCTTATAGCAACGGAAACATTTTAAGTATTTATCATTTATTACATGCTATGGGCTCATATTTGACAAATAATAATTAAATCATATCGGTCAATAATAATATCAGAAGACCAAAATCGTATTGGACTCATATTAGACAAATAAATAACATTAAAAAATATCAATGGAAAAGATATCCATCATCACCAAAAGATATACAGCATGCTTTAGAAATAAATTAGAATAATAAAATTACTTATCATAGAAGAAAAAAAAGCATATGTTTAGAGGAATCTATTACATGACTGTATATTTCAACAATAAGCATAGCGAAGTGTATAATAAGCGACGGCTATTACGGTTGAAAAGTTTTATGAATACCCATTGTGACTAACGAATATCCATCGCCACAATAAAATTATTTAACATGCTTTACAAATAGATAGATAATACAACATGATAGCCCATGTTTAACAATTAATTACTACAAGGGGATTAATAGAAAAATAATCGATCGTCACAAAAAAATAAGTATTAGCAAATTCATAGAAACAATAAAATTAATTAAATTATGTTTAGAGGTTTATATTACACAGTTGCGCATATATAATAAATAAATAAAGGTTAATATCACTTAAAACTCTAAACTATGCTCACTATGACACTAATAACCCAAACTTTTTATTGTGTTAAAAAATCCTAAACTATAAATTTTTTGTTACGTTGGTACAAGTTTCGGACATTGGTGATACAAAAAAAAAATTAGGTTATTGTTGTCATAGTTGACATATTTTAGGATTTTTTGTGGTATTTTTGTCGGGATTAAATATGACGGCCACATTAGCAAATTTACGGTGTTAACTAACAGTTGACGACAAAGGACTCAATGCACAATTGTGAAAGATAATGGACTACATTGAGGAAAAAAAGTAGATAGGGGACTAAATCTCAAAAATAGTAATACTTAGGGACTAAATTTGTACTTAAAGCCAACTTGAAAAATAAAGGAACCAAGATGGCTAATCGTCCCAAATAAATCTCATTTATCATAGCAAATAACTCATAAGTGAAAGAAAAAAGAAGGAAAAGACCTCATAAGAAATCAATAGAGGAATCCAAACATCAAGCATGTGCATCAAATAAATATGTGGTAAAAATATGGCTCCCAACAATTTATAAATGTCCCTGAAAGTGCTTCGTCAAATATCATGTTTATGTAGTTTTGTTGTTGCATTGAAGTTACCGATAGAAAGGATCCTCATCACAATACTACAAGGTAAAGATATATCTCAATCATCAATAGTCAAGAAATTGCTCCTCATCTATGTCCAGAATCAGGCAAGAACAACACTTAATCGAAAGAGCTCTTTTGTTACTCATGACTGACAACAATTTCTATATCAAACTCATTAACTAAGACAAGTAGAGAAATCTCTTACCTTGTTGTTGTCAAGCACATCTATGGCTTCCTCATAATTCCATAATCTGCTGCGCTCCTGAGGCTCTTTTGGATTTTCTTGACGAATAATTTCCCTTCCAAGATCTCTCAGTTGATCATGCATCATTAGATTGCCGTCCTTGTCAATTTTAATTAGGGACAAAAGACTGAGTACTTCAATTCCCTTCCCAGGGAAAAAATCACAGGTTTGCCACATATAAGTCAGACTTTGTTTATGTGATCCAATAAAAAAACATGCAACATCCAAAAATATCTGTTGCTCCTCGTAATCTAATGCATCGTAACTTATCCTCAATTTCTCTTGCACTTTCTTATCAGGCACCTTGTTTAATTTCTTCAATGTATCTTTCCATACTTCTTCTCTCTTTCCACATAGGAATGAACCTATTACTTCAAGAGCTAAGGGAAGCCCTCCAGTAGTTGACACAATATCGCTAGAGATAATTTTATAATCACTCTGAGGAGAATCCTTTCGAAATGCATGCCTACTAAATAAAATCAATGATTGATCCAAAGGCAATTCGTTGAGTTGGTGGATGTGGCTTGCCCTAGTCTCATCAAGAATACCCTTGTTTCTTGTTGTTATGATGACTATACTTCCAACTTCAAACCAACTACCGTCTCCGGCCAAAGCATTCAAGTGAGAATTATCATCCATATCATCAAGAAGAACGAGGACTTTCTTACTTGTAAATCGAGATTTGATGATTCGGATTCCCTCATCGACATTAGACACATCACATGAACTTCCTATTATGTCGCAAATGAGTTGGTTTTGTAGACATTCGATGCCCTTGCGTAGAGACGTTTCTCGTATATTTGCCACAAAGCTAAGATGCTCAAACTTACATGAGAGTTTGTTGTATAACACTTTTGCAAGAGTTGTTTTACCGATACCGCCCATTCCATGAATTCCAATAATCTTTGTACCATTGAATTTATCATCTATCGATCTCATAATCCGTTCCACATGATCATCAATTCCCACTAATTGTTCGGGAACGATTAGCAAAAAAAGTCTTTTTAATTCACCCATAACTTTTCGAACAACCGTTTTAACTAACGCTCCTTCATGCCTGTTAAATAACAATATAAATTTCAATATATGATGGCAATATTTATATTCTTTTTCAAGCAAGATCTAGCTATGAGAAACTAAACAAAGGTTTTTGGTGGTGAGGAATGTACCCATTATTAGTTTTATCCGATTCCCATCCTTTCAAGGAACTGACTTCTTTAAGTGCTTCCTCCCATTCCTTCACAACCATTTTGTCCAAATTCTCACTACGTGCATTGATAGCATCTCCCAATCTCCCTGTAAGATGTCGCACCTGCAAGGGTTTCACTTTATAAAATATGGGCAATACTATTTGCCCTCTTGTTCTCTTGCACTTCAATATCTCAGTTAGCTCACGAAGGCACCATTTGCTAGAAAAGTAGTCCTCTGAGATAATCGGGATTGAGATCTTAGACTGCGTAATACTGTAGAGAAGCTCCGCCCCAATCTCCTCACCAACACGGAGCTCGTTGTCGTCTCTGAACACATGAATTCCTGCATCAACAAGGCTCGTATAGAGATAATCGGTGAAGCCTTTGCGAGTGTCTTTCCCTCTAAAGCTCAAGAACACTTCATAATCATTTCCTCTCGGCTTTTTGGTTCCGCCTTCATAATCACCTACATGTGAAGGGGTCGATGAGGAAGACGCTTCATATGTCGGATCTTCTGAATGAGTCGGTTCTTCTCTTTCCATCTCGAGAGAATTGGCGGAGCAGAGCCTACAAAGCCAGTAAAAGAGATTGAGGAAGACGCCCCCCATATCGGTTCTCCTTGGCTCCGCGTTCATAATCACCTACAAAGGCAGTAAAAGGAGATCGATGGAGCAGAGCCTCAAAAGAAACCACGAAACAGAGTAGATGGAATACCAGATCTGGGAATTGCAGAAATGTCTCTTAGAACTCAATTCGGAACTCATCAAAAGAAAACGAAGCAATCAAAGCAAGAAACAGAGATGAGGAGGAGAGCAAGGAGTCATCATGGATTACCTATGGAGTGCTCAAACAACACAATCCACCAACTGCTGTGATCTCCACAGATTATCAGCCCTTCGACGTTGGAGTACCAACACACAACAACTCTCTATTCAGCGTGCTTGAACAGTGCCGAGTTCCTGCCGTCCAACGATTCAAAGACTCTTCAAGCTAATCGAACGGCCGCGATGAATGATGAGCGGAAAGGACAGTAGCAGCATAACGCGGAAGGTGCGCGGAATCTACGGAGGTGCTTCTTGAGTTGACTTTTCAATAAAGGAAATAGAGAAGAAAACCGAAGAGCGATACGCAGATGCTCCTGGCGCTAACGTACAAGAGCCAACGACAAAAACATATCAATCGTCCGATTATATAATATTTTGTCAATATTCATCTGCAGATCATTGTTATTAAAATAAGGAAAGTTCATTTGATTTTTGTTTTCAGCTGTTCAATCAAAACTTGTTTAGTGTCAACCCTCGGATTGAGTTAGTCATGGCCACGGTTCAGGAACCGCCGGTTCCGATTCGGAACCGGCGGTTCCGGTTCGCGGCCACGTATGAACCGGCGGTTCCGGGCCGGTTCCGGTTCCGGCCGGTTCCTTATTTAAAAATTAATAAAATAATTATAAAATAAAAATTGCGAGGCCTGGTCCTCCGTTGGTCGTCGCTCGGGCTTCGCGGCCTTGGCCATGGTGGCGGAGGCGGCGTTCAAGGCGGCGAGAAGATGAAGCGGGAGACGGGACGGCGGCGAGGGGAGAAGGAGGGGGCTGGGAGGGGACGGGGACGAGAGGCGGGGACGGGGAGGAAGAGCGGGGTTCCTCCTCCTCCGGGGTCGGGGAGGAGGAGGAGGAGGGGGCGTCGGCGTCGGCATGCGGCCATGGGCGGCGGCGCGCACGGGGTTAGATCTGGGGAGGCGGGGCGGACGGAGGAGAAAATGGGAGGAGGCGCGAGGGGTAGCAAGGGGGAAGGAGGAGGCGGCGTCGGCGTCGGCGGCTGCGGCCATGGGTGGGGGCGACGGTGGCGGGGTTAGATCGGGAAAACGGGGGCGGCGCGAGCGGAGGAGAAGAAGAAGAAGGAGAAGGAGAAGATGCAGAGAGCGGTGAGCACGTGAGAGAGAGAGAGAGAGAGAGAGAGAGGGGGACTAAAAAGTCTAAAATGATTTTCTCACCACACACGGCGGCAATTTTTTTTTTTTTGGAACGGGCCGGAACCGCCGGTTCCGGCCGGTTCCAAAATTATTGGAAGCCGGGAACGGGCCCGTAGGTCACGGGCCGGTTCCGGTTCCAATCGCGGGCCCGGTCAACGGGCTGGTCCCGGGTTTGACCGGGCGGTTCCAGTTCAAAAACCGGCCCGTGGCCATGACTAGATTGAGTATCATAAAATAGCAATGTTCAAAGCCACTGGATCATAACAAAGGTCGGAAGATAAGAAAATTTTCTATAGTACACCTGTTGTAATGTACGATATTGCGACATACCATAATAATTAAGTGAAAGAACATCATAACGTAGATTCCGTGACATTAATGGAGTGCGAAAATGGTGTAAAACAGAAGTTTGAGTCTAAAAGGAAATCAAATATATTTGTACATCTGTCTAATAAACTTGGATGAGCAAGGAGGATCATAACAAAGGTCGGAAGATAAGAAAATTTTCTATAGTACACCTGTTGTAATGTACGATATTGCGACATACCATAATAATTAAGTGAAAGAACATCATAACTTAGATTCCGTGACATTAATGGAGTGCAAAAATGGTGTAAAACAGAAGTTTGAGTCTAAAAGGAAATCAAATATATTTGTACATCTGTCTGATAAACTTGGATGAGCAAGGACATGATATCAACGAAACCACAAAGGGTAAGAGAGAGTAATTAATGGACCGACAAACCGACACCTACTCAAAAGAGTTTGTCGTTACATTGGACTGACCGGTGGCAACTTGAAATCGATCGGTGACAATTTCGATGGCACTCGTTGGTGGCCGCAACTCTTTAAGCGCCGAGTCGACCAAGGTTGATTCAAACCAGATTAATCGTATTAGGTGAGAGCTGTTCAAGCCCGGTCCAAAGTCAAAATCTCTTCTTTCTCTAAAAAATCTAACTATCAATGTTGTTTCAAAACCTGAGCATGCAATTACCGAATAATTAACATAATATTTTAAAAATTTGTAAACTTTCATTCATAAGAAGTCTATGCCATCTAACTCCAACGGCTCATGGCTTTCATGAATTTTGTTCAATGCCATAATGGAAGGTAAATGTATCGCATAGATACAAGTTTGGGATTTTTTATGTTACAAGAAAAAGTTTAGGGTAAATGTTACACGGTGGGTATGATTTGAAGTTTTCGATGTCACAAAAAAAAGTTTAAAGTAAGCGTGTTTCAGTGGACATAATTTTAGATTTTTTGTTGGCTTTTTCAATTGTTTTGAAGATGTTTTTAGTTCTTTAGATATGGTTGGGCTTTTGTGGGCTTTTAGGCCGCAATCGAATTTCGATCTAGCCCCGCTTGGAGTATATTGAGAACAATCATAGAAGGGACAGAGAGAGCCAGAGCGACTAGTCTTGTGGTTTCGACACAACCATGCTAAAATTTTACTAATCAATTTCATGTTCAGCGAAACTTAATTGGACGATCTCTAGCAAAATGCTCATGTTATTACTTGCAACGTGGCTGATAAGTTTTCGAACCAACTTCATCCATGTGGATTAGCAACGGGAGCTTACGATCTCTATCCAAACCCTCTTTTTATATGGAGAGAATTGCCCAAAAAGTCATAAACATATTGCACTTTTGCCAATTCAATCCTAAATCTTTCAATTTTGTCAATTTAGTCACATACACTTTCATATTTTGCCAACTGAGTCCATTCAATCAATTTTTTCCGAAAATCACTAAAGTAGACATCAGCCATCCTACATGACGCGATTGGCGCTCGTGTACAATTTTAGTAATATTTTTTTATTTTTTTTGTTTTTCCTTTTTTTTTTCTTTCTTTTTTCCTTCTTCACTACTTTCTTACTATGGCTAGTAGCTGGCAAGGGCTCGATGACCCTCGCCGGTTGCGGCGAGGACCGCAACGCCCTCGCTCGCGGCAGGCCAGGGGTCTTGACCCTCGCCTAGATATAGGCGAGGCCATCACAATCATTGGTGACTAGCCTTGCCCTGGCGTCACCTAGATCTGGGCAAGGCTACCTTGCTCGCAGCTGCATGATGGCCTTGCCTAGTCGAGCGAAAAGGTTACGGCCTTCACCCACGGCCAGTGAGGGTTGCCAGGCCCTCGCCGGCTGCAGGGCACAATAAGAGCGGTGAAAAAGGAAAATAAAAAGAAAAGAAAAATAAAATGAAAAATATTCAAAAAAATTAAAATATTTCTAAAAATTATCAACGTTAATGCTAATTGCGTCACGTAGGATGACTACCGTTCATGTTAGCGATTTCCGATCAAAATTAGCTCGATGGACTCAATTGGCAAAACGTGAAAAGGTTTATGACTTAATTGGCAAAATTAAAAGATTTAGGACTGAATTGGCAAGATTCTTTGGACTATTTTCCCTTTTATACTTTTGCCTACTTACATTCGCTTCCTATGTGGAAAGCACCAAGGAATCGCATGGGGGCTAGTCTTGTGCAACAACATGAAATATGTTATTATGGTTGTTTTTCAAGTCTCTAAAGTTTGATTAATATATTTGTACACCGGGTAAACTTATTGCAACATTCGAACTTTATACTATTTTTGTTTTGGTAGTGTGCATGAACCAAACCTTTTGGTAATGTAGGGACAGTGCATAGTTAAATCGCACAAGGGGATTTCCAATGATGGACCCAAAATACCTAAAGATCGCATTTCATCAATAAAGATCCAAAGCTGCCAAAAAGAAAAGAAACATGCCTATTGTTCGCATCGGGGAACTCTTATAGACGAAGTAAAATTTCACTTTAATCCAAGCTGTTTTAAACTTGAAAAAGCATCACAAAAAATTCTAAATTGTGTCCACAGTGACACCAACATACCAAACTCTTTTTATGTCATTAAAATCTCCAAACTTGTATCGGTTTAGCAAAAATCCCTTCAGTCTAGCATAAAAAAAAATTCCTAGACTTAGCCCATTGGCGACAATAACACTACAAACTTTTTTTTCGAGTTATCAATACCTAAACGAGTACCGGCGTGACAAGTCATAGTGGGTATACTTCTAGATTTTTGGTGATGCAATAAAAATTGGACAAATCATTGTGGCCGACGAGGGTCGCAATGAAGAAAAGAGAATAAAAAGAAAAAAAAATAATAAAAATTCAGAAAAATATATATTAAAAATTTGTCCAGGTCAACGCTAATTGTGTCACGTAAGATGACTGACGTATATATCCACGATTTCCGGCGAAAATTAGCTAGATAGACTATATTGATAAATCGTCGAAAGGTTTAGGACTCCAGTAGTGCAATTGAAAGGTTTAAGATTAAATTGGCAAAAATGCAATATTTTTAGCACTTTTTTTGGTTACTTTTCCCAAATAAAATATATCTTAAGCCGATTGAAATCCTATTGGAAAAATTGATAACATATTGTTGTCTAGTTTTGTTGGATCGTTCATCAATGTTCATGTGTCCAATTTGCGGGACATCGTTATTGCATCAGCGCAACACATTGAGCCGAAATGCATTGTGCTCACAAGCATCCGATCTTTTCTGAACTACATTGAAAATAGAGAAATGAATCGGATCATACCATTCCCGTACTCTGTGCCACTACAAGCCTTCTGCAGAGTCCCAGCAACACACAAGGATATGCACTAATCTTCATCCTCTTTCATCGACTTTTCCCACATCAACGAAGGCCATCGAACAGCAAGTCCAATTATTGGAAAAGTGGACAAACCCAGCTCGAGACTTAGACAGCACAAAGTTTTTTTTGTCTTTGATCAGTTCATTATCAAAACTAATCAGGCACAAGAGGTCATCTTTAGAGATTTCTTTAACTATTTTCTTTTTACCTACGTCAGCAATTAAAAAAAGAAAGGATATGTTCACTAGAAGTCCTAAAACTTGCCACGAAAGTGTATTTGAGTTCTAAAACTTGCAAAAGTGCAAGAAAATCTTACAACTTGTCAAATTAATTCAATCGAGTCACTCCGTTAACTTCGTTTAGTGACGGCTCTTGACTAGGTTTGGGCAAGTGCCGGTAACCCTCACCCGGTCTGGGGGAGGGCCGCGACTTCTTGCCCAGATTTGGGCGACGATGACATGTTTACTACGTCAGTGATTTCCAATCGCAATAGGCTGGAAGGATTATTATGGAATTTCACGTAATAGTATAATACTATATTGGTAAAATTAGGAAGTTTATGACGTAATTGGCATCCGTGCAATAAGTTGAAAACCGACAGGATAATCCTTTCATTTCAAGCCTAAATCGACTCAAACCAAACTAAGCAAGTCATTCAAGAGCTAGTTTAAGCCCAGCCGAATGGCAGAATCTCTTTTGTATCTTTTTTTTTGTCAAAAATCTAATTATCGATTTAGTTTCAAAACCCAAGCCAGCAATTACCAAATAATTAAGACAAAATTATTTTAAAAAAATTAAAGATTTTCATTCATGAGAAGCCTAAGCCATCTGTCACTTTAACGGCTCACGACTTTCGTGAATTTTGTCCACAGCCTCCTCATTTTGGTGTGCTATTTATTGGCCACTTTTTTTCCTGGATCAGGCCACCCCCGTGCTCGTTGCTTTCACCAACTTTTGCCTTTTTACTTTCTTTGTTCAGGTTAGGTCCTTGCTACGATTTTCTTTCTTTTGGGGTAACAGGTCGCTGCTACTAATCAATGTCACGTCCAGTGCAACTCGATTCGACGATCTCCGGTAAAACGCTCAAGTTATTACGTAGGGTTAATTCCAAAAAAAGGCATCAATTTTAGATCGAGAGACAATTCTGATCCGAACTTTTTTTGTTCCATAAAAAACATCAACTTTAGGTCGAGGAACAATTCGGGCCGAACTTTGTCCCATAAAAAGCACCAACTTTAGGTCGAGGGACAATTACGGCCCGAACCTTTTTGTCCCATAAAAAAGCACCAACTTTAGGTCGAGGGACAATTCCCGAACTTTTTTTTGTCTCGTAAAAAGCACCAACTTTCATTTAAATCCCAAATTTGGCCCCCATTGATTTTCGTTTGAAGTTACCCTTGTTTGAGAAAAAAGTTATGGTGGTGAGCCCGGCGAATCTCTTCTATGGCGTCTATCGACGGGCGGTGGTCTACGGCTCAGGTTACGACAAAACAACGAAGTTTGGCCGAGAAAGATTCAAACTCGGAGATATTTTTGACTTGCTTAGGTGAAGTGAATGAGACGAAGCGGTTCACCGTTATTCTTCAAGCTATGGTATAGAGAATAAGACAATGAATAATGCTTTAAATCCAGTCAGCAAATCACGTGGATTTATTGCTAAGGTGGAATAGTCAAGTTGAAAAATCAATGATTTTAAGTCAATAAGGGCCAGATTTGGGATTTAAATGAAAGTTTGTGCTTTTTTACGAGACAAAAAAAAGTTCAGGCCAGAATTGTCCCTCGACCTTAAGTTGGTGCTTTTTTACGGGACAAAAAAAAGTTCGGGCCATAATTGTCCCTCGATCTAAAGTTGGTATTTTTTTATGGAACAAAAAAAAGTTCGGGCCAGAATTGTCCCTCGACTTAAAGTTGGTGCTTTTTTTTTTAATTAACCCTTACTACGTAAGCAATAAGTTTCCCAACTATCTTCTTTCACGTGGGTCGGCAACAATGAGCTCAAGACCTTTGTCCAGACCCTTCTTCTGTACAGAGGATTGATATCACAGAAAACTCCAAATTAGTATATTTGTAATAAATTTATCCCAAACCAAAAATTTAAAATCGATACATTTGTAACAAATTTATTCTCCGTTAATTTCCGTTTCATTGGATTAATATTACGAAAAAGCACAAACTGGTACATACATGACAAACGGAGGGTAAAACCGCAAACCGATACATCCTTTAACTACCAAGTATTATCCAACTCAGCAATTTAACGGCAAAATTTAACGAAAATTAACGGAGGGTAAATTTGTCACAAGCGTATCAGTTTGTGATTTTTGGTAGTCAAAAAATTAGTTTGGGGTAAATTTATCATAGATATATCAGTTTGAGATTTTTCGTGGTATTAACCCTTGTCTATAAGCCTACTTTGGTTCATTACTCCTCTCAAAAGAAGCAGGGAATTGCCTGGGAGGCTCATATCGTGCAGCGACATAGAATATTATTATTATTATTATTACTTTGAAGGACTCCGAAGTTTGATCAATGGCTTTTTATACGCTGGGGAAACTTTTAGGAACATTCGAACCTTAGATTAGAAGTTTTCAATAGTGTGCATGAATCCAGCTGCTTGGCAATGGAGGGACAGTGCATCCTTTATAGCACCAGGAAATTTCTTATGAAGGATCCCCGTTATGATATTCACAAAGCAACAAAAAATTCAAAACATAAAGTTTAGGAATCAAATTGAATAAATTAAAAGTATAGAGATCACGTTGAATATTAAGTTAAAATTCAAAGATCACATTATATATTAGACTAATAACATTTTATATTAAATCAAAATTCATGAACCATTTATATCATTATTCATTTCCTTTTTGTTTTCCAAAGGTGGAGGAAAGAACAAAGAAAAAGAAGAAGGAAATTGCTGACTCCAGTCCGAGCCCTGCATCAGAAACAGAGCATCAATCGAATCGAATCGGATCATACTATTTCCAGTACGCGCTCTGGCCCTCTAGGATTCGTTGCAGAGTCCCTTAATGACACGCTAACGAAGCAGGATTTGCACTAATCTACGTCCCCTTGATCAACTTTTCTCCCCCACGTCAGTAAAGGGCATTGAATGATAGCTCCAATTATTGATGGAAAAGGGGGAGAGAACTCACCGAGCTCGAGGCTTAGGCCGCCACAAAGTTCTTGTCTTTCGAGCAGTTTCATTATCAGAGTTAATCAAAGCGCGAGAGATCGTCTTTAGTCATTTTGCTGTCAAACCAGAGCTGTGAAGAAAACGAGAGGAAAAGCAACAGCAAAGATTAAAAAAAAAACCAACACCCCAAAGCAAGCAAAGCAAAGCAAAAGCATGAACCCCTCGGAAAAGATATGAAACCCCCCAGTTTGTGCTACTGTGAAGACAGCCAGAAACCAATTTGGAAGTACACGTCCATACGCGCTTACTATAATTCCTCTGTTTTCGACCAAAGTTGCTCTGTTTTCATCGCCTTCGGTTTCAATCAAGAGAAATAAGCAGTATACCCGTTTCCAGAAACTCCCAAAGAAAGCTTCAGAGTACACAAGAACAGAGCACATATCAATGGCTGGACCCAAATTCTGATCGACATCATCCCCTAAAGAAATGGGCTTCCTTCTGTCTCGGATTACCTTCTGCTTCTTCTTCTTCCTCCTCCTCTGGCTCTCGCCCGCCGAGCCCTCTTCCGACTTCACCGACCTGGTCTTCAAGGGCTGCGCCCAGCAGAAGCTCCCAGACCCCACCGACGCTTCCGCCCAGAACCTCAAATCCCTCCTCTCCACGCTCACCTCGCAGGCCTCCCAGAAGACCTTCTACTCCACCAGCGTCGGCGACGGCGCGACGGCAGTCTCTGGACTCTTCCAGTGCAGGGGCGACCTCGCCGCCGCCCAGTGCGGCGACTGTGTCGGCAGGACGCCCGACCTGGCCCGGAAGCTCTGCGGGGGCGATGTCGCAGCCGCGAGGGTCCAGCTCAAAGGGTGCTACCTGAAGTACCGAATCAGCGGCTTCCAGGAGGCGCCGGACACGGACGTGGTGTACAAGGTCTGCGGGTCGGAGAAGGACGGCGGGTTCGGAGCGAAGAGGGAGGCGGCGTTCGGGATGGTGGCAAGCGGCGTCGTCGACGGCGGTGGGTTCTACGCGGGGAGCTACGGGAATGTGTACGTGCTGGGGCAGTGCGAGGGCGATGCCGTGATTGGTGGCGACTGTGAGGGGTGCGTGAAGGATGCGTTGGAGAGACTGGAGGCAGAGTGCGGCGAGGCGATTTCAGGGCAAGTGTATATGAACAAGTGCTACGTGAGCTTCAGCTACTACCCCAATGGCGTCCCCGGCGTCTCTCCGTCGTCGTCACTGTCCGGTAAAAGAAATCTCTCTCTCTCTCTCTCTCGTATGTTCGTCTATTCTTGTTCTCTTAGATTTATTTTCAAAGAATTTTGTCAAAGATCAATGGCTACTGGCCTCAGCCATATGTGTGTGAGAAAATCTTTCCTTTACTGAGAAGTGACATAAGTTCAGCATTTCCGTACACCTACGATGCATGGAACATGATGATGATTCGAGCGAGTAAAGCAGTAAAAGCAGCTTGCGGGTTTGTTGTTGTTGTTCCAGGAACAGAGGAAGGCGGCAGCGGCGACGGGCATCACACGCAGAAGACGGTGGCGGTGGTGGTGGGTGGGGTGGCGGCCGCGGGGTTCGGCGTCGTCTGCTTTCTCTTCGCGAAGTCGCTGTTCAAGAAGCGGGACGCCTTCAAGTACGAGAGTTGATGTCGCCCACCCCCCTTCCTTCATGTGTTTGATCGGCCTGTAATTAGATCAAGTATACACAGAACGAACTCATAGAGATTTGTGCATTTCTTTTCTTTCTTGTCACACAGAGAATTAGGAATATACATAGAGAATGAGACACAGTTTTGAAGATCGCATTGCTTTCTTTTTCGAAAGATGACGAGCAGCAGTAGAACCCTTTGCCTTTTGGACCCACTTTCTTCTTTTATGAGGTAAAGTAAAGTAGTAATTAGGTTGTTTTAATGACGCTTTGTTTCGTGAACAGCTCTTGCTTTTCTTATCGGTATTTAGTTGTCGTATCGGATGTAATGAAATTAATCGCTCCGAAGTTTCAACTTTCTGGAAAAATTATTAGATATATTGCAATTATACAAATTCGGTCTTCAATTTTTTTTTTTATCAATTGAATCCGAAACCTTTCTTTATGTCAATTTAGCGTCGGCCTCGCCACATTAGCGATTTTCGGGATGAACTAAATCGGTACAAATGCAAAAGGTTTAGAACTCAATTGGCAAAAAAAAAATTATTTAGGATTGAATTAGCACAATTACAACAGATTTGAGACTTTTTTGATAATTCTTCCTCAACTTTTCTATAGAGCTTAAGTGACACTAAAAGATTTTAAACGCGTGCCCCCGTTATACTTGTCAAGATTTATTAATCATACTGAAAATTTTTAAAGTTTACTGACATAGGTATGGTTATGATTGTTTGTCGATTAGCTAATGTAGAACAAGCTGTCTATTCTGTTGATGATGATGTGCATTTGGAAGCTTTTATAGTGTCATATGACAAATGTCGTGGTCAAGCTTAATTTAATAGATTAACATCTCACTGAGAGGGTTGTAGTTGTTCGTACAAATTATAAATCACTAATCAAAATTGGACACACTACGTAAGCAGGTTCATATACAGGTCAAGTCATCGGTACGGACCTGTTAACCGCCATCGTTTAGGCATGACCAACCGGAGGCATATTCATGTAACCAGCCGCCAGCCTGCTAATTCGAGTCGAGTCACATTTAACTTGCCAATACTTAGATTGTGTTCGTGTTTCATAAGCTGCCTCAATCAATGGCGATGCTATATCCCCCTAATGAACACGACTGTTGCTGTGAACACAACAAGGACACAAATTGCAACCCTAAAAGAAGAGCAATTCCAGCAAATAGCTAACTTCGGATGAAGAAAAGATTCTATCTAAAAGACAGGCAACTGAGTATGCCAACTGCTCAATGGCCATGTAGAGTGAAAAAATTCGAAGATACTATCCAAGACAAGTTTCCGACCGCATACTCGTTGTGCTAAATTGCATATAATCTTCTTTCAAGAAGGACATTCAAGATGCGCGTCTTCCTTTGCAATGACTAACCCATGCTGGTTCCAGCCAAATCAACCCAAACAAACTGCTCGGAGAAGGGCAATTTAAAGCATTGAACAATCCGATGACGGCATATGGATTCACAGAACGAAAAGCGATTCATAGCATTGACCGCTCCGGACAAAACTCAAGTTGCATTACTAGAGAAAACACGAGCTTGAGGTGGATGGATACATGCTCTTAGTTGCATAGACCCTCGAGGGGGGATATATATTCTGTTGTCGATTCGAAATGCAGTATAACAGCAAGGTCGGGAATACGTTTGATCAGCTAACAAGTACAAGGTAAGCTTAGTAGACTTGGGAGGAAAGGCAGATTCTTATCATGCTCTACTCTCCATCCACATGAGCAAAGCTGCCAATGATCCGAATAAGTTTCACCATATTGGCACTGGCAATAAATAAAAGGCCATATCTAAAGGAACTCGTCTTCCTCACCAGCTTCGTAGGATAGAAAAACATCATTGACTTAGCTAACTGCTCCCACCATTTCCCCTCAAAAGTGAAGTCGTAAATATAAAATCCACACATTCAAAACAATACCAAACATCACTTGCAGAATAAAGAATAGTTCATCCTAAGAACCTATGCAACTCACTGCCAAGTATGCACAGTAATTTCTTCTTGGTCTCCATAAATGTTGACAGCTAGAGACCGGTATTTTTACCGGGTTGGAACTTGGAAGGAGGACTTTAGGCATGGTAGGTGATTAAAATGTATTGACCGAAGGAGAACTTCCCCCATAGTCTTCCGTTAAGATGATCTGCTTGATCCATGCAGGGCTAGGAAAGATTCACCTTTGGCACTTACCTAGCACATACTCTTCTAATTTTATTCCTCTCTCTCTCTCTCTCTCTCTCTCACTTGCGCGCGTGCGCAGAGAAACATGCATCCTCAATCACGCATGAACAATCACACACAGAAATGAAGCACAGTGTGATCAAACACTTGCACGCCTTCTTCCTGCATATCCAAACGTCTTAGATTTGGTCATAACTGGTTGATCTAAATGTTTATTTTTCCAGGCTACCAATATGAACAAGAAGTGGAAAAGCAAAGGGAAGATCAATTTTTTTTATCTCCCGAGCTCGTCCGAGAGTAGATACGACAACAACTATGTCTTCGAATTATATTTTTCTATCTATGTAATATTTCCTATTTCTTCATTTCCAATTTTCCTAAACAACCAGGCTTTTAATCTATCCAACCATGAAAACAGTCCAAATTTGGATCCATACGCATTTACACCTTGTTGGGTTTGTCATAGTGAAGGAGAAGGGATTAAAATATAAAACAATATCCTCCTTCCTCTAAATCCATCTTGAAAGGCGGGATATTGTGACGAGCTAGTGAATTCCATTTCATTCGTCCTAACCTTCTAATCCCTACTACCAAACACAATGTGCACGTGATTCACTCTTCTCCTTTCATCTCTTTTTCCCCAGTAATCAGCTTGATGCCTTCTCTTTTATCAAAAGCACCCCATCCGAAAGCAGTGGTATACTATGAGTAACACAGAAGAATCAATTGGGAATTCTTGACGGCACAGTACATTCCAATGAGAAATTGAATAGGTCCATCCTTCAGAACCATTCCAAACTTAAAATTAACTGGATTCTAAGAATCCATAGCAAAGAACACATCATGGACTATATAGTACCACTCAATTTAGGCATAAAGCAGAAACCTTGACAGGCAAGACGAACATATAAACTTCCAATTCACTGCAAATTTATAAAAAAAGAAAAGAAAAGAAAAACAAAGAGGTCATACCCCTTCAACAGAGATGATATAATCGCCAAATCTTATCTCGAATTCACATTGAACGAACAAAATTCCAGAAACTACACTGATTAAGACGACCATTGTCCAATGGCTACGACTAAAATTATATCGAAGAAAAGGGCAACGAAAGCTAGAAATTCCAACCCCGGGAGCGCATCAAATACACACCAGCGACCAATCTAAGGGGGGGGGGGGGGGGGGGGCGAACCGTTACCGCGGCTCTTTCATTTCTGCCCGACGGGGGGAGTGCCGAGGAGGCTGGCCTGCTGGAGCTCGAGCTCGTTGAGCTGCTGCTCGCGGTCCATCTCGATGATGAGGGGCACGACGAGGACGAGGAAGGTGGTGCCGGCGATCCAGGCGGCCTTCCCCGTGCTCCTCAGGAGCTTCTTCGTCACGAACGCCGCGTCGCCCGCCGCCCGCTTCCCCCGGGCGACGATCTGCGACTCCGCGATCCTGGAGACGATGCCGCTCCCGGCGCCGTCGCCGCCGCCGCCGCTCTTGGGGTTCCGCTTGTCGGGGAGGGAGACGCCGCCTTTGCGCGCCGAGGACGCCATTGATCTCGCGGCGGCGGAGGGCGGCGATGAAGAGAGAGAGAGCTAGAGAGAGAGAGAGAGAGAGAGGGAGGAAGAGAGGCGGAGAAGTGTTGAGCGAGGGTTTTAAAGGGGGGAGGCTGACGCCGGAGAGAAAGAGGGTTTGGCCGGTTCGACCGATGGGGACCGGTCCGTCCGGTTCGCTGAAGCGTAAAGAACCGGGCCGGAAAAGGGCCACCGGTCCGACCGGTACGAAGAACCGGGCCGAAAGGTGTCCTTCGTCCTGCGCTTGTACGCCCGAACCCTACTCATCTTTCGAACGAAATCGAATCCAATCGAATGTATCGTAATTAACTTTGGTATTAACCGGTGTGGTTGCGCCTTTTGCATGACGCGCGCGTGAATGATTCGTGACGCTATGTGAAATTCATAATATTACATCACCTGAAATATGTTACCGACGTCACGGGAAATAGAATGGAGCAACTACTTTCTTTAAATTGATTTTAATTTAAGCGAATTTGGTAATAGTTATAAATGTGCAGCGAGATATATTTCTTCTTATGAATTACATACATTCCGATAGTTGTTTCTAATATATTTTGAGGATACGTAATGTTGATGTAATGCCAACTTAGCACCGCATTAGAAAAAATTCCAAAACTGAAAAAAAGAGAGAAGCAAAAGAGAACCAAGAATAGAGAAACAAAACTGGTGAGAGAGATTGCAGGGGGGGGGGGTTCGAGAGGGAAGGTGTATTCATGGGCGACCCTCGCCTGTAGCGTGATGGTGAATTCATTATAGATTGATATTAACTTATCGGATAATCAACTCATAAATAGAGCTCCGAAAATGGGAAAGATTAGATTTGATCATTCAACTCGCCCTTCTTTTTCTACAAATTCGAAAATCGTGTTAGAAAAGCAGTGCATGGATGCACGTTATTCATAATCCAAATGAAATACACAAGTTCGATCTAAGCGGTAAGTGAATCTCCGAGCGATTCGTGTTACCTTACCTAATTACGACACATGTTCCATGGAGGAAAACTTTCTAATTGCTGGCATCTTGATGGGATTGCAGCGATAGGCTAGCTAGCCCTGCGAGTTCTTCCTAGGGGCTTGCTTATATTTAGGGTGCGCATGAATATCATTACGTGTTCGGCGCTATTTCGAACGTAAATGATTTTTTTATTCTCGTGCTAAAACAATTTCGAGTATTTGAAGGCGTTTGATAAAGCATCCCAAAATTTCTATTCCTAGAGTAGAAAAGAACGAAATGCGTTTGATAACTACACAAAATTTACGTTCCCAAATAATATTTTGAATTGTTTAATTTTCTTTTTCTTTTTAACCATTTTTTTCTTTGGCCATGGCCGGGCGTGGCCCTCGCGGGCAGGCGAGGAGGCGAGGGCGACCTCGCCGTCTCCGCCGACGCCGCCCGAGGCCGGTCGGCTGACGGGATTGTGGCGATAGGCTAGCTAGCCCCGCGAGTTCTTCCTAGGGGCTTGCTTAGCCTTAATTCGGCGAGGCGTGTCGGCCGGGCCTGTTTGGCTTGTGTACACCTCGACGAAACAACACCACAAAATACGAAAGAAAAAAAAGAAAAGAAGAAAAAAGCTGATTCTCAAAATTGTCTTAGTTAGAAACAAGAAGCAAACTTTTTTTACTTTTGTTTTCTTCCAAAAAAGCTTCTCGGCACAAATTTTTGCAAAAAATGTCTTGAGAAGCAAAAAAGTTTCTAAAGCGATTTACGTTGTGAAGTATTTTCTAGACAAAAGCAATGTAAATTTTTACTATTTGGCCACGTTAAAGCAACGCTTAGTTGGTGTAAGGATCCTTATGGTAAAGGGTCACCAAACTCAATCCCTGCTTTTAAAAAACCAAGAAAATGACCTTTGTGAAAAAAATTAGAAAAATGAAAAGAAAGTGCCATTCTTTTAAAATTTTTAAATTCGTTAAATATATATTAAAAATAAAATAAAAATGCGAGCACTGCATTTGTGTCCGCCTGACTTCTACACAAACCCCACGCCTTTCACCTTCCTTCCAGAGAGAAACGCTGCTGCGTATAACTTCCCTCCCAAAACCCGGAAAAACAAAACACGAGCACCAAACCCTAATCCTCAAATCCCCTCTCCTCTCCTCTCCTCTCTCTCTCTCCCCCGTGGCCCTTCGTTTCTCGTTCTCCTGCGCTGCTCCGCCCTTCTCTCCGTCGCACCGGCTCCCGCGCCTGCACCCACCGACCACCGACCGGGCCCTCTTCGGGCGTCTGCCCGCCGCTCCGTGACGGTAATCTCTCTCACTCGCGCGCGCGCGCGCGCACTCCATCTCGCTCGATTATGTTCGGTGTGCCTCGGCGGCAGCTTTTGATTTGGTGCTTGCGGTTTTTCGGATTTGGCTGCGTTGCGCTTCCTCTGCTTGCCGCCTTGGCCTTTGGAGTCGAGGTTTTTAGCCGTTGCAATGGCAGCAGTGTTATGCTGAGCATTCAGTAAGTCTCGGCGCCGGTTTTTTGGTTCGCCCAGAGGAATCGAGCGAGATGGGGATTCTTTAGTCTAATTGCCTACCCGTTTGAGTTTTTAGTATTGGGATCCCTCCCTCGATGTCGATGGAAGTTCGACTCTATGGGCGGCTGGGATTGAACTTAGCCGAGGAGCTGTACATACGTCATTCTATACGCGGGGGTGCCCTTATAGGCATGCTGAGCACTACTGCATTTAGCTTCTATGCTAGGAAAAATATGAAAGCAATGCGCTAGAGCCTCGTGTAATTTCACAATCACCCTTCGTGTCCTGGTACCACTGTTGTGTTAAACTGCTACTTTGTTGTTTCCACGGGGTTTGTTTAAAATTGGTGGTTTCGTCGGGCGTTTTACGCTCGATCAATTTTGTTCTATCAAAATTTCTCCACTTTCCGTTTAGTAGTCCTTTGGTAATAGGATGAGCTATGTTTCTGGTTTCCTTTTTTGGCAGCTATATACCGTCAGTGCGTAAAGCAGTGGAATGTAATTTGAGATCAAATCCCGATAGGAGTCATGCAAGTACAAATTTTGAGTTACAATTGGTCATGTGCACTTTGTATTTAGAAAATGACTCTAAGCAGTATGGTGTGATCCTCCAAACAAATATCTGGACTAACTTTGCTACGAAAGGTGGTCCTTACATGTAATTTATTTTGCAGTTTACTCCATACAGTCTAAAATTTGTCCATAAGCATGGGAGATAGTGAAATGCTGATTGCCCAAACATCTAGTGCAATGGGATATTCAACTGCTGGGCACAATTCTATTGCTAATGTTGATGGGGCTTCGAATATCATCCAGGAAGCTAATGCCGTCAGTGGGGTTACAGGAGATTTTCCAGCATCTACAACTTCAGCTAACGCTCTCAATATGGATTTAAATGCTACTACTCAGGGACCATATGTGAATAAGACATACGAGGGTAAACCAACTGTTGGGATGGCTACTATAGATCAGGGCGTTGCCAACTTTGAGAATGCAGGAGTTGTTTCGTCTGGAGCTTCTGCTTATGATTCCTTTGCCAATGGTAGTATTACTGGTGAAGCTGTGTCTGCTGAGAATGGCGACGGTTCTCATGATGCAGGCGCAAGTGCAGCAGAGCCACTGTTAGAAGATGGGTCTGGTATGTTCTCTTCTGCTTTTCTTCTTTTGATGTTAGGATTATTGGATGTTGTGAATTGGCCACTTGTAGGCGTCCATTGGTTTCTGTTGTCATTTGCATTCTCGTGCGATGGAGTGCACTTTCTTGAGCATAGGATGTAGCTATAATTATTTTTGAGAAATGCCAATTCTTTTTGGGGATTTAGCAGAACAGAAGATTTTGTGCTGTACACTTATGAAGGTTGTGAGGTATTCGGTAGCCCCAAATTGATGTTAATCGATATAAAGGAGTATTGTTTCCAGACATGTACTCTTTCAGACGAGATTCAAGAATTCAAATTCTTTTGACATCACCAAGAGTGAGTTTTATATATGCTGGTGTAATGGTTCTTGAGGTGCTTTTTGTTTGAATGAGCCTTAGAGTATCATATTATATAATTTGTGCTAGTATCTGTGGATCTGGCAAAGCAATTAGCGTGAATATCCTTTACAAGATAAAGCTTTTTAGCGGGAATGTGGAATCAATGAGATGGAGTCTGTTTAAGGACAAGGTGAACTAGGGCATCTAGTAACTGATCTTTCCAGGAAGGGTTAGCTTTATCAAAATCTTTCTATTGGGTTCAATTTAGAATTTATGCTGAATTTACTCTTTTTCTGATCTTAACTTTATTCTTTTTTGTTGATCTTAAGTTTAATTGGGCTGCGTTAGTGAACTTTCCGGCATTGACATCTACCTTTCGATTCAATTGGCTTTTTTCCTTTACTTCTAGTGTGGCTTGTGTATGTTGTTCATCAATTTTTTTTTTCTCGCAGATCCCTTTTAAATGTTTCTTGGTGGTCTTTCTCCTCATGGCTTTCAATTTCTTGCCTAAAATGCTGTCAAAATTTTTGTAATCGTTATATGAAGAGCAATCGAGTTATATTATTCCTATTCACACACACGGACATATTATATTACGGTTAATGATTATGGATATCATTGCAACTCTGCCCCTTTTCTTTACCCTGGGATACCCTTTGAATGTTACGACCATTGTTATGTATTATTACCCTCCTGTCCTGTATCTTCTCCTTTTGGGTGCTTATACATGGCTACAACATGGTGTGCTGAGGATTTGTATCACGAAGTGTTTTTCCGGTTGTTCTACAGTTCAGTATTCCTTTTATTCGGGCATAGTTTATTCTTGATTTCATTATCTTTCTGACTGTCTTCCAGTTCTGATATGCATAGTCTCTCCTTTTATGTGCAGTGCTTGCTATGTCTGCGGAAGAAGATCGGTTATGGAGCATTGTGAGGACGAATTCTCTGGATTTTGACGCTTGGGTTGCTTTGATCGAAGAGACAGAGAAGGTTGCTGAGGTACATTCACGGCATACTTGATATTGTAGGTTTTAATGGTGTCCATCTTTTTTTATTTCACTGGTATGAGAGAATTTTGTGGGACAGATCTGATAAGGCATATTAGAAGCATTTATTTGTATTAGGACTGTCCCAATCCTTGAGGTAAGGAAATGTTCTGTATCTGAGGGGTTTGTGAACTTATGATAAGTGAAACTCCAGCAAAACAATTACCCCCACCTAAAAGGGAAAACTTCACAAGATAGGATTCACCAATCTAATTACTTTTTTCCATACGTTATCGTTCTCAAAGGACACCTTAAAATGCCCTTTCGTGGTAGAGGAACATTGAACTTGAAACCCCAATCTTTTGGAATTTCATACCACCGGCTTAAGGGCTGCAATCAATCTTTCAGTGCACCAACTGATATTTGGCATCGCACAATTTCCATAACCTTTTTTTCAAAAGGCCGCTAGCCAAATATAGACATTGTGTAAATGCCTTTTTTATCTTGATTTGATTATCACACCGCCAGCTTAAATATGGCTGCAGGCAGACATGATTTACTAAGTTATTTTTCTGTAGCACATTGACTGTTTTATCTCATTCTCCTAATGGAGAAGACAAATCCATAAGCCTTAAGGGAAGGGTATTACTTATCTATCTTCCAAGAGGTCTAATTACAATGAATTTTGACTTTTGAGCTCTCTTTTTGTGCTAAATCCTGAAATTGACTTGATAGTATGAGGATCGAGAAGGCTGTTATAAAAGTGATATTCCTACTTAGAATTCTCCTATATGTTAAACCAGATTTATGTGAAGTTTATTCTCCATGAGTAAAATTACGGCACATTTGCAACTTTCTGTTTGTTTTCATAGTTCAAAGCTTCTTGCACGAAAAAGATCATGTTAAATCTGGTGTTGTTGCTTGGTCGGGGGGATTAGATTCCTACTATTTGAAGCACTTATTTGTTGTTCGTAATCGTGTACTGAGCTGCTACTGGGCACAGCCTTTTGCGTGCTTATGCACTTGGATATATGTATATCAGTTTGAATCCTGCCCTTCTGTTAACTTATTATTCGTGATTTCTGCTTTGGGACTGCTACTCTTCAAAGTGATTTGCCATGATATGATTTGCATTTAGTCTTTTTGTCCTGCCCATTTACCTTGTGGAAGAATTCCCAACTTTGTTGGCTTAGGCATTTGTAGTTATCAAATTAATGAAGGTTTCTTTCTATATTCTTTTGGGTCCTCTGAATATATATCATGTGACATTTACTTAAAGTGTGGCTTAAATCGTAATTCTCAGTCATGTATTTTATCTCATTTGCAGGGAAATTTATTGAAAATTCGGAGAGTCTATGATGCCTTTTTGGCAGAATTTCCACTGTGCTATGGTTACTGGAAGAAGTATGCAGAGCACGAGGCGACCAGCTCTACTGAAAAAGCTGTGGAGGTTTATGAGAGAGCTGTGCTGGGGGTGACTTACTCTGTTGACATCTGGTTGCACTATTGCCGATTTGCCATCAGCAAGTATGAAGATCCAGAGGTCATAAGAAGGTAAAGCTCTTTGTTTGTCTATCTGTTTCTGTGCTTTTGGGTTAGTTTTGCCCATTCCTTTCCTTTCCTTTCTTAGTCACCTTGGTCATTTCCTTTTCTTCTTTCTCACCTTGTCTTAATATGCCTGGTACAGTGATGCCCACGTGTATGGAGGAACGATGGAATAAGAGTCATTTATTTTGTCACTTTCTTATTCATAGATTGTGAATTTTAGGACATGTTTCTCTTAAATGGACCTTTGGTATGCCTAAATCTTGGTGTTCTTTCTTTGGAAGAATTGAGTCGTAGTCATATAGTGCCCAACTTGTGGCTGTATTTAGCTTTGATATCGGTGCATCGATATCCAAATCGCTGCTGGGAAGATTCATCCAGTTATGGGCTAAGATGACCCTATCTCTCCTCAATTTGACGGGCATTATATGATTTATTTAAGGAAGGTAAATGTGGCATTTGGCGGCATTGCACGCTGTTAGAATGAATTGTTCCTTCAATGTTAGCACCGTGGTCTACCTTTTTTTATTTTATTTTGGAGTTGACGATTCTACTTATGTAAAGTAATTTTGCTTGTTTTGCAGGCTCTTTGAACGGGGATTGGCTTATGTTGGAACTGATTACCTCTCTTATTCTCTTTGGGATGAATACATAGAATATGAGTATAGACAGCAGGATTGGTGCCGTATAGCAATGATCTACACAAGGATATTTGAGAGTCCAATTCTGTACCTGGATAAGTACTATAACAGGTAGTTTTAATTCACCATAATTTCTTTTGTCTCGTCATGAATTTCATGTGTCCAACTGTTTATACTATAATATTATGAGCCATTTAGTACAATATATGATGATACGTGGCACCAAGGGGATGCCAACCCATATACAAAATCAAGTACCGAAGAAGGAGTCCTGTAGGTCTAGAAAAGCATTTAGATCAATACTTGGATTTTGCGTGTACCAGAAGTGCAAATCAAAAGGCCAAGAATTCCTGATTTTGACAAAAAGGCTTTCTGTATTAGTGGAGGTTCTCTCCCTCCAATCAGCCCCAAAGTTGCTAGAGGGATCAACACTCAAAAAGGCTTGAGTTTGTTCATATTGATCCTTTGAGCAACATCAACTGCATTAAGTTTTTCTAGCTTGATTGGGGTCCCTTTTTCTTCAGGTTCTTTCTTTTTGATGCACCTGAATCATGCGTCTTTCGTCTAAGAATCAAAGCAGAGAGCAGTAAATAAAATAGAAAATCCGGAGAAAAGTGTCTCTTCCACTGCATTATCAAGTCAAAAGATCAAGAATTGTCTTATGGTTGAAAGACCTGTCCTCATAATTCAGGAGGAAGTTACCAAAGAAAGAGGATACATAATGCTCTACTTGACATCTATAGTGATCTCATAGATGGTTAGCTTTTGTAGAGGTTTATAAACTCAATCATTACTCTCAAGGCTTCCTGAGGTATCAGAATATATATTTGCTCCATAACAATGATTATGATAAAGGATCAAAAGCACGATTTTACCAAACAAGAGTGCTGTCTAGCATGCCGCCACGTAATTTAGCGATTCTGTGCCAATCAATCTCTACTCCAGAATGGTTCTTCTTTCTCTTGTTTGGTTTTTTTAATCAGGTGAATTGGTCGTGTATTCTTGAGCATCAACTAATTTTTGCATATTTGGTCCTTGTTGGATACCAGTTTTCTTGTTGAGTTTCCTTGTTAAAATAATTGGCATTTATGTGTTGGGTTTCCTCAAATACCGCAGGAATTTCCTCTGATTGCCATTACCGCATATATGTGCTGTATGATATTTTTCTTTTATGTTTTGTAAGTCATTACCATGTGGCATGTCTTGAGATCGTCTTAGGTCCATGCGGATGTTCTTTTCCTTTTGTAATTCCATTTTTGTATTGTTGGCAGTAGGCTCTTAGAATGCTTGACTAATTTGGTAACTTTTACAAGTGTTGTAGTGGAAAGACCTGCATTTTAGCTGGTAGTAAGCACTTTCGTGGTTAAACCTTGTAAATTCTGTCCAAGGGATGCTGGTTGAGCCTCAACTGCAGTACCTTATATTTAGAGTTTTTATTGTTGCTTCATCTTAGTCTTTTATATGTAAGTTGTAGACGTCTTATTTAATATGAAAGGTTTGTGGTTGATTTATGTTGAACATTCTTTTTGATTAAAAATGGATTTCTTGGGGTTCTATGCTGTCTGAAGGGCGAATTTCTACAGTTGCTGAAAATTTTGGGGTGGCTGTTTCTTGAGTCTGTGTAGTTTGACTTGTCGCACAGATATTTACTTGTGATTTCTTTGGGTATGAGTCAATGTGTGCATAGTATCATAGATACTTGGTTCGATAGCCTATTGTTGGTTAATTTTCCTTTTCTTCTTATTTTCATCTGATCATTTTAATTTTCCAATATGATGTCCTGTCGCTTTTTCAAAGGAATGGATTAGCAACAAGCAAATAACTTCCATTGATTTGTTGATCTGGCTTGAATGATGCTGCAGCTTCAAGGAATTGGCTGCCAATCGGCCTCTATCCGAGTTAAGGACTGCTGAGGAAGCAGCAGCAGCAGCCAGTTCAGTATCAGAGGTTATTGACCAATTGAATGAAGGGGAAGTTCCTCCTGATGCTAGTGGACAGTCTCCTAAACTTGTAAGTGCTGGCTTAACAGAAGCAGAGGAGTTGGAGAAGTATATCGCCATTAGAGAAGAGATGTATAAGAAAGCTAAAGAGTTCGATTCTAAGATCGCTGGTTTTGAAACAGCTATTGGGAGGCCCTACTTTCATGTGAAGCCCCTGAATGTTGCAGAACTTGAAAATTGGCATAACTATCTGAATTTTATAGAAAGAGAAGGTGACTTTAGCAAGGTATGGGGATCTCTCGTTAATTTGATTATCACTATCATTTGAATCTTTAGTTGTGTTTGATTTTATGCATTGGCTTACAATCAGTAATATCTGCTGCATGATATGCTTTTTTGGGTAAACCGTTGGATGAAGCTACTTTTTAAACGGCAAATTGTACTGAGACTAAAGCATGGGCCTACCATTTGGTTTCTTTGAGGCTAAGTATTTCAAACCCTCATTTGTCAGTGGACATATTAGGTTTGTGATGTCTTCCATAAATTGTTATTTTTAAAGTTCCAATGTTATGCATGCAGGTGTCTACTTATCTTCCTAACCATCTGTCTGTCAGGCAAGGAGGTTCCCTCCTTTCCTATTTGAGGGGCCTCTCTATTCCGCAACGGAGTACTTCTTATGCATATCTCCCCGTGCTTTGTGTTATTTGTCTATTTCTCTGGTGTAGCATGCCACAGCGTGATGATATTATAATATTTTGTGTGTATCAGGTGGTAAAGTTGTATGAAAGATGTCTAATAGCATGTGCCAATTACCCGGAGTATTGGATAAGATATGTTAAAAGCATGGAAGCACATGGAAGTATGGATCTTGCAGAAAACGCACTTATCCGTGCTACTCAAGTTTTCGTTAAGGTATGAAAACATACTTCTCATGGTCTAGTTGTGGAAACTCGCTTCTTCGTGATAGGATTTTCAGTTCAGCAACATATTCTCTATATAAATTGGTCATAGCTGTCATTTTTGGTTGCCTAAATAAAAGACATTAAGCAGTTTGACTCTTCAAACATTTTGTCGCGAAGTTTTTGGGCAGGGTTAAGTTTACTTGATCTTTTGTCCTATATGCAGTAATGATTAATTGTGAGACTTGTCATGTGGATAATTCTTTTTTCGGTCTGCTCTCAACCCGTGTCAGTCTTTATTTGTGTTGCTAGTCCATATCCAAGTGTTCTTATGTGTTGGAGTTGCATTATGATGTGTTGTTAGTCCATATCCGATTTGGTTTCTAGTGACAATTGTGTGCAATGAGATGTTGGATTTGCATTATGATGTGGAAAAGTATTAATTCAACTCAAATTTAGTTGATTTCTATAGTTAACTGGTATGATACTTTGATTTAGGTTCTTTATTTTGGATATGATAATATCTTACTGCATAAAGACCACTAGAATCTAGATATAGGGACGAGGTGGGGAGTATGTTACAGAAAGTACATTAAATAAAACAAAATAAGGACTGCAAAAGGATTTTGGTTTTGGAAGTAAACTGGCGTGAGCTTCCTGTGCTTCAGTTGCTTTTCTGTACTCCACTTGACCCGATGAGCTCTATGATTTAGATTGTCTGTGCTGTATGTGCATATTTGGGTTATTTACTTGCAACTAATCATTGAGTAAATTTCCAGAGACAACCGGAGATCCACCTTTTTGCAGCTTGGTTTAAGGAACATAATGGTGACATACTGGCTGCTCGAGCTGCTTATGAACTGGTCCACACTGAAATTTCACCAGGTCTTCTTGAGGCCATAATAAAGCATGCCAATATGGAAAGAAGGCTGGTAAGTTCATGGTTGTGTTTGGGTTTACTTATGCTTGGAACAATTAATTTTTTTCCCCTATCAACTTTACAAACTCAACTATCAATTATATTGAACATCCGTCACCTTTTTATAATAGTTTGAAGGCATTTAAAGTCATCTATATTTTTTCTTAATTTTCGCTCAAATTATATTTTATTTTGTCGAAAATTTAAACATAGAACTCAATTTTTTAAATTACCCCAAACTCAATCCTTATTTTTTGGTTGCATAGCGTTAACAATTTGATCCTGCTTACCTCTTGACTTTAAGAAGCTGCTTTCTTCTTCTTTTTTTTTTTTTGGGGGGGGGGACTGTTTGTAGAACTGTGAAAATTTATCTTTCAGACCTTAGAGAATTATTACGACAGTCTTTAGGTCTGTTTGCTAGACCATTGTTTTGAGGTCCAGGTTCTCTCTTGTATAGATTCTGCTGAAATGCATGAATCATGTTTCTAGCTTTTGGTATTTTCTCATCTTCTCTCAATTGACTTACCTGCAGCCCTACTTGTAACCCTTTTTTGTTAGATTATTAAGGCAAGGGAATTCTTGTGCTTGGATCATTTCTCAACTCATTTGAAAAATGCATTTCAATATGATGCAAACCTTGTATTTCTTGTAACCGTGTGAGATTTCCGGGATGAAATTAACTATTTTCTTTTTGGTGATTGCATTAGGAAATTGACAATTTGCTGTCTTAGAAATAGAGCTTTGAACTCCTTAACAAGGTCAATTATAACAATATTTCTTTTGTGCAGTGTGGTGTAACATCAGGGTTGTTAAAAATTCTTATGTTGATTGTGATATGCATTGTATGGCTTCTTGTGTTTCAGGGGAACTTGGATGATGCTTTGGCGGTATATGAACAGGCGATTGCTATTGAGAAAGGAAAGGAACACTCACAAGCTTTACCAGTGTTGTTTGCTCAGTATGCGCGTTTTCTGTACTTGGTGGGTCTGTTGTAATATAAATTTTCTGCTTTTCTTACCATGTAGTGCTGCATATCTCTCTGCTTTTGATACTGAAAGACTGCTTTTAAGAATGAGTGAAAATGGAGCAGAAAGGGCTTATTGATTGTAGGATGAGCAGATCAAACACATGATGTTAGACCTCGCTATCATCATTTTAATCACTGTCTCTTGGTTTTGGAGCCTGTCTGAAAGGGTGGAACTCATGCAGTGTGGAATCATTATCATGGGTTATTTATACTTTAGGGGCTGCTAGCATGTTGACCAGAAACCTAGCAGACAAGGTTCTGAGTTGTTGACAATTTCACCTTTCTTGGTGTATCTTTGCGAGAATTGGTCCATAGTGCGCAGACATTTGACTGTGTTTTTGTCGTACTCTACATCTTTGATAATCTAAGTCTATGGAGCAGCTGATCTTAAGCACCTGAGTCGGAAAATCTGCAATATTCTTGCAGGAGAAGTAGATCAGAATTGCTGTTACCTGTCTGTAGTGTTGCAACTTAATGGTCTTGTTTGCCAATAAATTCTGAGAAAGCTATTTTTCTGCTGTAGGCATGTGCAAACACATCCATGTGTGCTGTGACTGAATTTCACATGCTTGTCCTTTCCTTGGAGTGAATGTCTCTTCTTAACAGTGTATCTAATTCTTTTGATTCTTTCTCTTTCCTTTGGCAGGCCACGGGAAAAGTGGAAAAAGCTAGGGAAGTTCTAGATGAGGCTCCTGAACATGTCCAGTTGTCAAAGCCATTTCTTGAGGTGCTCCTGACTGCCTTGTCACCTTACAGTTATTAGGATCTAATTTAATCTTTTACTCGTGAACCAATACTAATGCTGATTATTTGCCTTTTTGGTTTGGGCAGATCTTAATCTTTATGGAGGCAGTGATGCCATTGCCGAAAAGAATTGATCGCTTAGATACCTTGGTCGAGAAGTTCATTATTCCCAACACTGACAGCCCTAATACTGCAAGTATAGCTGAGAGAGAGGATGTATCTACCATTTTTTTGGAGGTAAAAATTTTAAGATTCTGCTAAAGAGTGCATTTGTTGGATTGACTGTTGTCATTATGGTACATTGTACTTGTTTTTTTGCAGAATGTTCCGGAACTGTTTTAATAATGAAACTCAGGAAATTTACCATTAACGTCTTGTTTTTTCTCGTCAATTTTCTAAAAAGGATCTTTTCACTCAAAGCACCAGTCCATTTTGCAATTTGCAAATGAACAACTACACCAAGAACTTCAATCATCGGACACAGTGGACCCTAAAATATAATATTATGATATTGTTTTCTTGCTTTAATCTATTATATTTAATTCTTTATAAATTGTTTTGGCTAGTGTGCATTTATTAAGATTTCAGAGATTTATAATTTTGGAAAACAATTCTGATTGAAGTTCTAATTGCTGAACATGGTGTAATTACTTTTTATAATATGGTTCAGTGATTTTTCCTTTAACAGGTCGTGTTGGTTACTAGTTAAGCTGGAATACTATGGGTGGTGCTTATTTAATGAATTTGTTTCGCTTATTCCTGTGTCAAACAAAGACATCTTCATACATCATGTTTCTATATTCAATTCGACCCCTGATTGGATTGGGGGAAAAAGCCTACGAGTGGATCTCTTCTATTTAAGAGATTCGCTTGGACTTTTTGTTTGTTTATTGTCTTTGTCAGCATCATCTCTCTCTATTACGCAAACCTGTTATGCTTTTGCACAGGAGAATGAGAAGGGGTTGGTCTGTTTTTTTATCGTTGTTGTAACATTTAGGGGAAATGGCAGAAATGGTCCTCGAATTTTGTCTCAATATGCAATGTTGTTCCTGGACTTTTAGCATGTTCAATGTGGTTCATGAACTATTGGTAAATGTTCAATGTAGTCATTTTTTTTGCTCAAACAACAAATTAGACGTTATTTTGATAATGTGGAATATTATATGCTGAGTTGGATGTTTTAAACATGATGATTCAACATGTCTATTCTTTTATCCATCTACTTTAGATGGGGAAAAAAAATTAGGCGTTAATATGTCCATCGACGACATTGATTATTATATATTGATTTGAGATGAATATATTAAGTGGATAATAATCTACTTTTAACTTTTATTTTTGTCCATTATTCAAACTTAATGGATTGGAAGCCACATCAGCAGATTTCGTTAACTTGAATTAATGGAAGGACGATGTTGAGCATTTTCAAAAGTCTAGAGAGCAGATCGAACATTTATCGATAGTTTAATGTCCACATTGAACAAATTAAAAGTTTAGAGACCACATTGCATGTTGGACTGAAGTTGAGGGACCATCTGTGTCATTTTCTTTTATATTTATACATGCTATTGAATGATTTCAAGGGTCAAAGGTGATGCAGCAGAGATTGTAGTATGATTTACGAATTATGCTGATCGAGGTCATTTTCTTGCGATTTTCTGTTGCAGTTTGTGGATTTAGTGGGAGATGCACAGGCTATAAAGAAGGCTCATGATAGACATCTTAAGATCTTCCTGCACAATAGGATGGCTTCGCAGTTGAAAAAGCGTCAGGCGGAGGATGTTCTAGCTTCAGACAAATCTAAGCTAATGAAACCCGATGCTTCTGTTCCTTCATCTGTCCAGTCTTTGATGGGTGCATATCCAGGTGTACAGAACCAGTGGACAGCTGGTTATGGTGTACAACCACAAACTTGGCCGCATGTTACCCAAGCACCAGCGCAACAATGGAACCCCGCCTATGCCCAGCAGACGGTAATTTAGACATATATACATATCCATACCTTTCTCTGTCTGATGTTGCAATTCAATTGCTGTGGTGCTTGTTGGACAATTTTGTGACAAGTACATGTTTACCTTTCGGTAAAAATACTCTCATTTGCATCTCTAACCAGTCCCTTGGCTTGCTTGATATAGTGTGCTGTGTGCATATGGTCTTTTTGCTGCTTTACAATATCTAAAGATGTGTTGGTTGAAGAGATATGGACGTCCATGACATGTAAAGATTATTTTTTCTGTTATTCTTGCCTGCAGATGGGAATTCATGGCTTTTCGTGTGGAACAATCTTTTTTATCTGCTTCATAAGTATTTTGATATTTGGTAATTTACCTTTTACCTATCTGGGAAAGCATTTGTTGCAAATGATGGAAGAAAGACAATAAAATTTTGAGTAAGTGTATGGAATTTTCATAATGTGTCACTTGCATCGGTCCTTGTTGCGTACTGGCTGAATTCCAGTGACTGCTTCAATGATTAGATGGCAACGATGACCTTGCTGTTTTAAATCTTCTGCTTATTATAATAGTGCGGCATTGGCTCTTGGTATCCTTCTCATACTATGAAATTTCTTCACCATAAAACAATACGATCGTTTTGATCCCCACTGTCCTTGAATTAGGCTGCATATGGTGGTTACACGGCGAGCTATGCCACTCCGCAAGTATCAACATCGGTGGCACAAACTGCCTCATATGGGGCTTATCCTCCAACTTATCCTGCGCAGGTACTGAAAACTTTACCATTTGATATTGAAGTTTCTACATATTTTGCTTGCTTAGATTCTTTATATCTGCAAGATTATAACATCTAGGATTTAGTATGGAAACAAGTGCGCAGAAGATGCTTATGGTGATTACTTGTATTGGTGTTTGCTTTTTGTTCCCTGATTTTGGGGTTTGTCATTAAGTCACATGTCAGTGTTACTAGTTTGAGTTTTGTTGGATTTAGTTGTGGGTATTTACAGTTTGTACAAAAACAAGCTCCTCTTCTTGAACTTTATATGTTTTTCCACGTGACATTGTGACTTTGGAAGCAGTTGTCTTGGTAGCTTATCTTCGATTTGAAAGATGAGGCAATTGATATTAGTTGTGTTTTGTTGGTAATGATGAACCACGAAAACCTATTTTGGTCACCTTCATTTTGCTCTGGACTCCGAAAGCGTATTTGCTGGTTTTGTTTTCTTCTAAATGGTAAAGTCTTGTAGTAGTACAAACGGTAGTCTCCCATGGATAAATTAGTTAAAAGTCGTTTTTTATACTGTTGAGTTTGCTTGGAAGTGTCTTTGCTATGTGCACAGACGTTCAACAGACTTAATTATTCAGGAGAGTGACAATTGCATTGCTGTTCATTGACTATGGTCTGAATTAACTGAATATTGCTGGAAAGGGATATAAAGCCATGATCAATATTTTCTTTTTGTCTGTTAATTTGTGGTGGTATTAAGAGCTGAAGTTTTGTCACAACATAATCAGGCCGCTCCACAGCAGAGTTATGCACAACCAGCTGCCACAGCCGCAACAGCCCCATCTCAGCAAGCAGCGTCGGTGCCTCAGGCTTATTATGGGACTTACTACTGAACAGGGATAGCAGGCAGCATCCTTGTTTGCATGATTGTTGTATAGAACACTCATCCCTAGGACTCACGAGAATTACTTAACCTGTGGTTTTTTGAACCCAGCGAGGGGGGGAGCTAACGATGTCGATGGTGGAGCAGAAGAGCGAACCCTTGTTTTTGGTCATGTTGGATCTGAATGATTGCTGCTGTATGGTCATGGTCTTTTGACAGCGGTATCTGAGTTAGGCTGTCCTTCGATATTTGTGGGGGATGGATAGTCGTTCCTCTTGTTTTCTTTCTTCTTTCCCGGATCTTTTTAGGTACTCTACTAGTTTCCGTGTTTCTGTTTCTTTCACATTTTATGATTATAGTAGTGTATTTGGTCCAAAAAGAGTGATGCACTTTGGCGCGGTGCTCAGTTCTTTCTTACATCCGGCGATTCTTTTAGTCGTCGAAACTTTTCGCTGCCTTTGTCATCTTTGTTTCGTCGTTGCACCGTAAATCATTTTGATTCCTTCTCGTTGAAAGAGAAGCGAATCCTCAATCTTTTAGAGAAGGCGAGACCCTTTGAACTTTAAGGGAGAAACTGAATTGCGTGGTACAGGTCGGAACGAGACGATGGATACTCTAGATTGTAGATTCTTCATGGAGGGGGGGGCCTGTACCGGTGTCCCGAGTATTGATCGACATCTCGGTCTCTCTTCCGAGTGTGGACCTATTTCTCAAAGCGATTGATGCAAGAGCGACCCGAAAGGAAATGGGGTCGTTTCGGCTCCGTCGGTGTAAAGCACGGAGCTCCGCCCATGAAGAATCGAAGCATTCGTTGGTAAATTGCTTCAAACCCACCGAAAAGTCTCGAACCGAATACGCTGTCAAAATCAACGGGTTCCTATTGAAAGAAAAAAGGAGGATGGAATCATGGGGAAGACTAGATAGCCGCCCAATGTAAATGTCCGGGTGGACAATTAGGGCAAACAAAAAGAAGCATACTGTACTGTGTACTGTGTACACCGCACTCATTAGGGGGGGAGATTTGAACTGTTACGCACACATTCTTTTTCACCCATGGCCAAAAAGGGTCTTTTAAGAGGGGGGGTGCAAAATCTAACTCCCGCAAAGATGTCTTTGTCCAATTACGGCAAAATCAAGGTCAGCACACGCAGAAACAAAAAGGAAAAAAAAAGGAAAAAAACAGAAGGACATTTTTTTAAGAAATTGTCCCTTCTTTTTTTTTTTTTTTTGTGTGTTTTGGGGTCAGCATGTTTCGTAAGTTATGGTAAAAATCCAGATGGATTCCTCCGATTCGTGTCCCGATTTCGGGAGGGCGAAGAAGAGCGGATCGATGGATGCCGCCACCACCACCAATAATCCCTAATTTCGGATAAATCGTGGAATGGGATTTGGTGCAGCGTCCCATAATTGGAGTCCAGATCTCCTCCCCCTACTACTCCCTACTCTCTCTCTCTCTCTCTCTCTCTCCTTTTTTAAATTATCGTTTCGTTTCATTTGGTTATTGCTCACGCCCAGCTCTCTCCCTCTCTCTCTCTCTCTCTGTGAGATTTTTAGGGTTTTTGCCTCTCTCTCTCCCTCTCTCTTGTCTGCTTCTGCTGCTGCTGTCGCTCGTCGCCCTGCTCGGCTCGATCTGGTGGCCTCTGGAGCTCGAGCTCTTCCTCTCTTCCTCTCTTCTCCTCCTCCTTTCCTTGATGCTTCTGTCGGGGCCTGGCGAGGACTGAGATTCGCTGACCGGGGCTCCCCTGCAAATGGCTACTTCCTACTCCCCTCCCGTCACCGCGATGCAGGTGACTCTCCGCCGCCGCCGCCCCTCCCCTCGTTGCTCCCTCTCCGCGCGTGGCTTCTCCGCCGCCGCCGCCGCCGCCGGCGGAGATTCCGGGTTGATGCTTACCGGGGGTTGATGCTTGTCTCTCTTTTCGTGTGGTTGTGGGCGCAGGTTGGTTCTTACTTCGTCGGCCAGTACTACCAGGTGCTGAAGGAGCGTCCCGAGCTGGCGCATCAGTTCTACACGGAGACGAGCTCCATGGTCCGGATCGACGGCGATACCAGCGAGTCCGGGTCCACCATGCTCGTGAGTTTTTACTCCTCGTCTTGCTCCCCTTTTGGTTTTTTTTTTTGGTGTGGGGATGCGCTCCAATCTCGTTCGTCGTCGGCGCTCGTTTCTTTCCTTCTATTGTAACAGTCGTGGGGAGCTCGTTTCTGCTTGATTGCAGTGGCTTTTGGATAGTGATGTCTACTCTCTCTCTCTCCCTCCCTCTCTCTCACTCTTTCTATCTATATATAGGCCTTGTGCGAGCAAGTCCTGAAATTTGCTGTAATTTGAGTGGTTCTCGTGTCGTTTTATCTTTTCTCCCGAGCACGGTGTGATACCCTTTGCAGAGATCTGTAGATGCCCGCTATAGGTTAAAACATTCAGACGCTTTAGCCGGCGCTTCCGGTTCGTAGAATAGTCGAGGATTTTGGTGGCTGAGAAATGGTTTCTAGCAGGTCCTCTCTGTTAAGTTGTTGTGTCACTTCTCTGTGGGGATGACATTCCATTCTTCAGCAGAATGGTTCCGCGTTCCTATTATGACCAACATTTACTTGGTCAGTAGAGGGGAACGGAAGAATGTAGCAATCCCACATACAAAATAATCATAAGATGTAGTCATACATAGAATCCCCAGAGGCGGGCCTGTACATGTATATTTTGCTGCGCATAGTAGTTAGAGCACAAAACCTTTTACAAACTCTCTATCTTGAAAATTGATGTTAAGTTCTTGACAGATTTTTCCAAGTGAGAAACATTACCCGCCTTTAAATTCTTCGTTCTTAAAGGTGGCAGTGGCTGCTGGTTGTTTTTGAAGTCTAACACTACCTGGGATACACATGACCATTTTTTTTTTTTTTGGGGGATCATTTTTGGCTGTGACAGGGTTTCTATTGATTGCTATTATCCGCAGTAGCGGATAAACCTTGAAAATCAACTTTCTTCCCTTTTTTTCTTTATTCAACTTATGCCGAGTTTTGTTATTTCCAATTCGAGCATAATGGTATTGATATAGTTGAATTTGCTAACGATCTTCTCCCTTTCATGTGCAGCAAATCCATTCTCTTCTCATGTCACTAAACTTGGCTACAATCGAGGTCAAGACAATAAACTCTCTTGAATCTTGGAATGGAGGTATCGTGGTGATGGTTTCTGGTTTGGTTAAAACGAAGGACTCTATCGTCCGGAGGAAGTTCGTGCAAGCCTTCTTTCTTGCACCTCAAGATAAGGGTTTCTTTGTCCTCAATGATATCTTTCAATTCTTCGAAGATGCAACAGTACCTCAACACTCTGCACCCATGGTATCAGAAAGCAGAATTGACGTGCAGTTAAATGCATCTAGCCCTGTGATGGATCCACCAGGTAAATACAAGTGGTTTGTTGGGCCTTGCTACATGCTATTTGGAAAGTGTCAAAGTGGGGACTGCCAGACTGCCTCTGCCTTGGAGTTGCAGTGTCATTGAGAGGGTCTCTTTGTAACCGTTGATGCCTCTGCTTGCTACCATAGAATATTGCCCTTTATCTTACCCAAAATGTCAAGTGTATGTGCCTTTATATTATCGACATGGACAATAATTTTGTTCCTGTCAAATTTAAATTAATAAAGTAGCTGTACTTAAGAAGAGGTATACAATATGGAATAGGATAAGATCTTGGATCGGAAAATCTTTATGTAACAAGTTCGTGATTATTTTCAAATAATTGTCCCGTAGTTATGGAAAAGCCTGCCCGCTAGTGTGGGGGTGGTTAAACATGAAGAATTCCCGAGCATTCGTTTTCACATAGTTTTAATTTCTTTTCTCTTGTTTCTGCGATCTAATATGGTTGTGGGCAGTTCACAACTATGTTTTGGAGGAAGAGCCAAGGGAATACGTAAACTCAGTAAATATCGAAGATAATCTGGATGACGAATACAATCTCCAAGAACAACAGCACTACGATGAAGTCGAAGCTGAAGCTGTGTTAGAAAATGCCTATGCGGAAGACAATTCTACTTCGCTTCATACTTTGGATGCTGTTCCTGTTGCTCCAGATGTTGTTCTGGATGAACCGGTGGAAGAACCTCAAAGGAAAACCTACGCCTCTATCGTATGGATCTGCTCTGTTGTTGCTGCTTATCTTTGCTTGTCCTATTATCCTGCTTTCAAGTCTACTACTTGTTTGATGCTATTTAGAGCTTGTTCTTGTTCACTATATGTATAGTATGTATAAGGTAATCACACATGGAAGTTTGAAGTAGTCATGTCTGGTGTGCATGAAATGGTGACTAGATGTAATTTGGCAGACGATTGTGGTTGTACTTGTCTCTGCAGGCGCATAATTGATTGACCTGAATATTAAGTTAAGTACTTATCAGAGGATAGACTCAATTTGCATCTCTGACCCATTTTATTGTCAGCTTTAATTTTTCTGAAGAGTTCATATGTGGAGTTTGAATCAACTCGTCCATCTGCACAAATGAAAGGATCGCTTTTCTGTGGTTGTGGATGATTTATATCTCTTGGTATCTGAAATTTCAGTTGGTAATAATTTATTCTGTGGATCATGTTCAGTTGATGGTGAATGGTTAACGCCCTCATATGTGCGAGACATCCTGGGGTCGCCAATTGGGGAGCATAGTGCTAATTATGGAATTGTTTATGACTTGTGCTTTAGATTGGTTGGTTTTATGTTCAGGGCATGGGGAAAAGAAACTTGTCGAATACATGATGCAAGAACAAATTAGGGGCTGAGGATGTAGCCCAATATTTTCTTTTTTTTCCGTGATGTAATTTAATTAAATTATCTTTTTTTTTTTTTGCTTGATGTGGTCCTAATTGGCCTATATGTTGTATGCTTGCCAGTTACGAGCTTCGAAAGGGCAGTCCGCATCAGCAGCCACTGCACTGCCCCCTTATGGCCGGACTCTTCCCAACATGTCGGATTGGGAATATAACCCACAGCCCACGGCTCAGCTACCAAAATCGGTGTCGTATGTTGAGCCTGTATCGGTTGTTGAGGCAGCAGATGATGGTTTTGGTGAAGATGAAGGTTGTATTCTTAAAATTTGTCATTTTATTGCTTAATCACATCTTTCATTTGTGATTTCCAATTTCATTCTGGGCTGCTTGCTGTTGATCATTTTTCAGTGTTACTAAGGCTACTGTTTTTGTTTTTTTTCTTTTTTTTTGGGGGGGGGGGGAATTGCATTTGGAGTTCATCATAGATTGCCATTATGTTTCTATAAGGGATTAGTTAAATTTTACTGGGTTTGTGGTGACCCGTGACGTGTAGATCATGGGATAATTACTTCTGTATTGTTTTGCGTTACTATGAAAAATATATTACACGTGATCCATCAAACGAGTCAT